TCTTGGTGGTGTGAGGTTCCCGTGTGTCTCTGCTCGCTTGTCTCTTTTATATCTCAAAAGAGACTGGCTTAAGACACAATCTAATCTTGTAAACCTCATCAGTATAACTGCTGCTAATCCATTGTATTAGATCATAGTGATAGAGTTTACAACACATAAGGAAATCACAGTGGTACACAATCATACAATACTACGAATCATGGCCCAGCCGAGTTGACAGATATTTTGGGGGGACACAATTCAATCCATGACACACATCTACAAAAGTTCAATAACAGGAAGCTACTTCAAACTTGAAGTTAAGATTTTTATGTGAAATGAAGTTGTAGTTGAAATAGGAAATAATCATTTTAAAAAGTTAGGCTGATAATTATGTGGAAGCTATGAAATCATTCCTGGGAAATGAGACTTAAAAAATAAGTGGTTCTATTCCACCAGAAATTGGAAGAGTGGTTAAAAATATTCTCTAGGCAAAACCAGGGTAACTGAAGCAACTGTAATAAACTGTGCTTGGAATTGTTAGAGCTGATTGCAATTACCTTTTAGATTCTGAAATAATATACTGGAAATACATAATTAATACACCTGAGGCTACTAAAAGTAGAGATGACTATTACAAGGAGCTTTACAAAGGATGAATTCCTGATTGGGTGCAATTTTATATGCCATGTTCTGAAGTGGGGACTAACCTGTTGCCTTGTCAATTCAGACTCATGATGACCCCACGTGTTTCAGAGCAGAACAACACTCAGTAGGATTTTCAATGGCTGTCATCTTGTGGAAAGGAGCCCTGGTGGTGCAGTGGTTAAGATAGTTGTGTTGCTGTGCCACCGAGTTATGATTCACAGAGACCCTGTAGAACAGAGAACAACTGCCACATAGGGTTTCCTAAGCTGTTGATTGTATGGGAGCAGATTGCCAGGTCTTTTCTCTCTCGGAGCCGCAGGTGGGTTTGAACTGCCCCTTTGGTTAGCTGCTGAGGGCTTAACCACTGCGTCACCAGGGCTCCTTCTCTTGAAGATTACAGCCTAGGAAACTCTATGCGGCACTTCCACTCTGTCATATAGGGTCACTATGGTGGCACACAACAATCTTATGGAAGTAGATTGCCAGGGGACTAGACTATACTAAAAAAAAGACTGAGGAAGCTTGCAAAGAAAAATGCTTTGGAGACAATGAAATTATTCCATGATGGAGTTTTTTGTATCATTAATCTGTGGTTATCTTGAAAATCTTCTAAAAATATATAATATTGAAATGCAGTTAACATTTGGTTAAGATTTGTAAATTGGAATCCTAAAAGTAGGATTATACTGTAATAATGCAGATAAGATGCCCTGTCTAACCATGAAGACCTTCAGAGAGTGATGTCTAATGTATTTCTGCCTCCCAAGTAATTTTCTCTTTTGGCCAACTTGATACAGGTATGGGATTCTGGAAAACAGTTTCAGTGTAGCCAAGATGACACAGCACAAAACCACAGAGAACCTTTTATAGTTTTATCTCGTGGCTTCCTTTTCTCAATAACATATTGCAGTTATCTTTCCATGTCTGTACATATAAATCTACTTAAGTTTTTATAATAGGTGTAATTTTATAATTGAGTTAATAAATTAAGATATTTAGGTTTACAATTTTTTTGCTATTAAAAATTTAATTAAATTGCTCCATGACACTCAAGATACAAGAAATGTAACATTTGTTTTTTCTATTACAATAATATCCATATCTGTTCCCCTATTTCTCCTGTTTGCCAAGGTAGATAAGATGTCCGTTATCAACTGGCTGACCATATGTCCCAGTTTATGTTAGCTATCTTGGTATGATGAACCCCACTTCCTTTCGAAAGCATCCCAGTTTGGACAATATATGTGGCCACCCTAATGGCAAGTCATTATATGGAGTCTCTTCCCCATCCCCACTGTATTGTATTGGAACCCAGGAACTGATCTTGATCCAGGAAAGCAGGGGGTGGGTGGGGTGGGTGGGATTTGGGAAGTTAATCCACAGTGGCTGCCACTGATACTGCTAACCCTCCTGTTACAGTTTGGATGCTGCCATTGAGACTTTTCCCAAAGCCTGGGGTCTTAATGGCCCGTTCTCCTAGATACTCACACATCCATCTCCACACAGCTCCCATACAAGACCCACACGAGGTCTTGGACCCTTCCATAGGCTCCTATCCACCCTCTATACCTCCTTCTCAATCTTGGGTTAACAGCACTCCCAACTTCCTTTAATTTAGGGCACCAACCTCCTTTGCTTTGCCCTTTAGTACCATCCAACTGAATTCCTCTTTAGGGATAGAGACCACTCAGAAAAGACCTGGGGTTAGGGTTGTGCTTAAGGGGGCCCTGAAACACAAATGTGATGCTAAGGAGATACTCAAACCAAAAAACCCACTGCCACTGAGCCAACTCTGACTCATAGCAACCTTATAGGGCAGAGTAGAACTGCCCCCTTGGATTTCCAAGTCCATAATCTTTACAGAAGTTGACTGTCACATCTTTCTCCTGCTCCCAGCTGGTGGGTTTGAACCTCTAAGCACTATCTCAGTAATGTACCCTTACACTGCAGCAAGCTTCTTTTGGCATATATCTTGGTACTTAATTTGAACATTTCCATGGGATCAATCCACAGAAGTGAAATTCCACATATATAAAAAGGCATACATATTTAAAATGTTTACTATCCTGCCAAAAAGAGGGGAGCCACTGCCCCAGTTAAGATAGGAGAATAGGGCTACCACCCAAAGTCGCCCAGCGTCTGGAGGGTCAGACTACCACACAGATGGACCTGGACAACAGAGGACTATTTTCAAGCCTTGAAATCTAATGAAATTTACCCTGCTGAGCTTTGGACTTGCTTTGGTACCTGTGACCCTTTCTATCCTTCCAATTTCTCCCATTTTGAATGGGAATGTCTACCTTATGCCTGTTCCACCATTATACTTTGGAAGCAGATAACTTGTATCCTAGGTTTCACAGGTCCACAGATGGAGAGGAATTTTGCCCCAGGATGGACCATACCCAGAGTCTCACCCATACCTGGTTTAGATAATGAGATCTTGGATTTAGAGTTGATGCTGGAATGGGTTAAGACTTTGAGATGTTGGGGTGGGGTGAATGTATTTTGCATGTGGAAAGAACATAAATTTGAGGGGCTAGATGGCAGAGTGTTATGGACTGAATTGCCCCCCTTCCCTCCTTCTCCACAGAAGATATGTTGAAGTCCTAATCCCTGCACCTGTGGATGTGACCATGTTTGGGGAAATTAGCAGTTAAGTCTTACCAGAGTAGGGTGGATCGTAATCCTTACCCTTTCTGAGTGGTGTCTTACAAAAAGAGAGAACAGATAGGGAATCACACACAGGGGAAGACACCATATGAGGATCCATCTCCATCCAAGGAAGCCAAGAAACACCCGGGCCTACCAGAAGCTGAAAGACTAGAATCTTCCTTTAGAGCCAACAAAGAGCATAGCCCTGCTGACACCTTGAATCCAACTTCTAGCCTTGAGGACTCAGAAAATATATTTCTTTAAAGCCACTCACTTTGCAGTACTTTGTTATGGCAGTCCTTTGTTCCTGGGAAACAAAGACAGCTGGATTGGCACTGGACCTCTATTCACTCTTGGTGTGTGTTCCTATAATAAAGTGTTAGAAAGCTACAAGTTAACAGTTCCCAGACTCCCTTGCAGCAGAGTTCTGGATACCTTTGTTTTGGCCAAGCAGACAGACTCACAGATGGCAGAAGCAGGGTGGAGACTGCAGCTGTGCTAATGTCAACAAGCAGGGTCATGTAAGTGGTTTTTCTTTTTTATTTATTTATTTGAAAGTGTTTTTTTCTGAGGCAGTGTTGGGGGAGATCCCAGTGTCCAGAAACAAGGTTCTTAAGTGGCAAGTGTACAAAGCATCTAATCTGGTGTGGATTGCAGGAGGCACGGCAAAGTACTGTAGAAAGCCAGCAGCAGTAGCGTGGCTTCGTTATCATTCTCCTGATCCTCCCTATGCTGGTGTGCTTTGGGACTGAGTGGTTTTCTCATCTTAGAAGAGGAAGCAGCTCTCTTAACTGACCTGGTGCTGCAGGATGCCACTGGGAGTCATTCCTCAAAGCCCTGTCTTCTCAGATTAATATTTTGTTTAAAAAAGAAAACTTTGGTTGCTTAATTAGAACTGTGTTCTCTGCAACTGTATGTTAATACGTTAGGTAATGGTGATGGTTCTAAGAAGACAGTAAGGACATTGTCAAGAACTGTGAAGGGGCTGATATTTTACCCTATTTGCAAGCTGCAAGTTAGCTTGCCAGTTTCATGGATGCTGGTCTGGTAGAATAGATGAGACTCCTGCATCAGAGCCAAATGACTTTATTACTAACAGCACAGCAAGCAGCATGAGCTTCATGTTCGTGTCAGTTTCCCCTGACCCTGAAGTCCTACAGAGGTTATACAGAGCAACTCAAGTTGGTGCTGAGCACACAGTGGGTCTGCATCACAGCTGAGAAACCCCAAGTTTAGGGAACCTGAATCTTTTACCATCAGCTCAAGCAAACCTGCCCAACTTTTGCCCCGGAGAGACTTGTTATCTTTATTAAACTGGACAATAAACAAATCTGCCTTCCTCTTGAGGGAGACACGGTATCTTCCCAGGCTGTTCACTATACAAACACCCTTGAAATGATAGTCTGGATCAAAGGCTATCAAAGCCTCTGCTCACAAGATGTGCAGAAACGCAAGAGACACATGTAGTACTGTGTCCCAAGAGACGTAAGCCAACTTTTCATTTGAACTATAGCCACCCTTCCTTTAGAGCCTAAACCAGGCTTTATCTTTTAAAAATCTAGTTATGAAATCTAATAAACATTTGTATACAATCAGAGACTAATTTGGAGCATGCTTTCTATTCATTTCAGTCATGCGAAAACACCATAGCAGCCATTATTAAAGGTATCCATCCATAAATTACTTTTATTTCTCATTAAATGAGCACAGAGTCATTAGTATATTAATAACAGATATGTTTATTATTACATATCCATCAGTGCGGCTTTCAATACCACTTGAAACATGCAAATCGTCCTAGAGACGAATCAGTTTTCCAGTGCTTCTTATTTGATACACATTACTGCAAAGCCATTATAAATTACTGAGGAGGTATTTGGTTAAAAAAATAAACAATAAATCATACTGCCCATATGAATCAACTCTTGTTACTAGACAAGAGTTTAACAGTATTTATCTGATAATTCCTATTTTAACTGGAAAACATCACAGATGTATTGCCATAATTTTCTTTTATATTGGTGCAACCTTCTACATTTTTTGCAGTTTTATAAAGTCATTCATTGTTGTAGCAGGTAGTTTGATGCAAAGATTGTACTCAGTTTATGAAAGTCCAACAAACCTCTAAATATTTTAAATTAAACCAATCATCAATGAAAAACCCACTGAGACATAATTTTTTTGAAAATATGTTTTCTGAAATTTCTATACTTAGTCATGGCAGTAAAACAAGTCTCTCAAATTAAGGCACTAAAAGGGCAATGCAACTCCCATTGAAAGTGTTCTAAGAATAATTTACATTTCAAACAGTGCATACATTTTTTTTTATATGTTTGTTAACTTAATGTCTTTATCACTTAAAACCACAAAGAAATACATTAAACACTTATAGAAATGATGTACCCCACAAAATGCTTTTAAACTTGGTTCTTTTGTACAGTTAGTTTCTAATGTCTCTAGTAGTAAAATAACTCAATATGGCTTGGCAAAAATGCATAGATTAAATGTAATTTTTTTTTTTTTGCCTTCTCCCATTTCCCAATCTACAAACTTGCTGAAACATATACAGTATTTTGTAAAGCATAATGTAAATAAAATATTTAATTTCTCCATCAAGTCCACCACGGGCAATCAACAATAAGGCTTTTAAATTCTACAGTGAGGGCACTGAACTTCAAGTGATGCCTCTGCTTTTTAAAAATAGTTTGTATAGTCTTGCAAGAGCACAAAAACTTAAAGTCATTTAAAAAACATCAACAACAAGGAAAAAAAAAAACTTCAGTTTGTCTCATTTTGAGATATTTTCTTTACTCCTTCCATGAGCTGATCCTGATAGTGATGCCCATTCCACTTGAAAGTTAAGTCTCTTCCACTCACTCATATGAGGAAAAATGTGTTCTATCATGATTGACAGGCATTTTCTTAGAAATTCAAAAAAGGCAGCACCTTTAAAAAATATATATATCTAGCTAAGCTTTTCCCCCAATTGTACTTGCATTAAATAGTAATAATTAATCTAATCTACCTGTAGGCAAACCCGCAATAAAAAAAACCCTCAGTGTGCTTTTGTGCCAAAGCAAGGACAGAAGAACAGCAATCTTCACCCTGAAGCCTGTGATATTTGTGTCAAAGGAACAGCCTGTCTGCTCTGCATGATTAAAGAAGCTGGTTTATCAGGTAGCATGCCAGGAGATTCCACAAGTCAAAGGACACATGGTTAACTGCTGGGGGGAAAAAAGGGAGAAAAGCAAAATGTAAGAAATACACCCAGTTTAAAAATTACAAGAAATAAAAACTGAAGGTAAATAAATATTATCTTTATATATAATAATTAACTAATTACCCTAAATTTGGAAAACATGGAAAAAGAAAATACACAGTTTTCAATGTATTTTTAAATAGTTATAAATCTAGTCTAAATAATTTTAGATCTAGCTTTTATCCTACAGATCTGAAACATTTTTTCCATGTTGTAACTTAAATCTTCATAAATATAACTTATAATGGCTGCATAATATTCTATAAAGTGAGAATATCATAATTTACTTCACTTTTTCTCAATTATTGGATATTAAGATTGCTCCTGATGTTTTTGCATTACTAGTAACACTAGAGTGAACATCTTTCTGGGACTTTAATTTTTGGTAAGCATGATTTTGATTTCTTCCCTCTCTGAAAAGTCATTTAAAAGTGAATATAGGTAAATTTAAATAATCTTACTTATGGGAAGAACTTGGCAAACAATCATTAAAAGAAGCTAATGAAAAATCTATAAGATCAGGTCCAGAAACTATGAAGTTAGCTTACAAACAAATGCCATTCTAGTCTACCAATGGCAACTAGTGTGACGATATTTTAACCATGTATGGGTAGTCTCTGACTTACAATGGGGTTCCGTTCCGATGACTCTGCTATAAGTTGTTTCTGACATGAGTCGAATACCTCATTTTTTTTTTTTTTTTTTAGTTTTCATTATTATTGCCTTTTATTATTATCAGTATATTTATAAATCTAATCTCTATTTGTCTTTGGGGACTGGAAACATTACATATAAACTTATGGAAATGATGATATCAGCAAATTACATGCTGCAGCATAGTATGTAGTACATATTATAAACAGTAACATGTACCAAAAAAAGTGTCATAAGCGTGGTTTGTCATAACTCGAATATGTAAGTTGAGGCTATCTGTAATTCCTTAACATGGAATGGGAATATGCCCCTTCTCCTTCCAGTTCATAATAATCTTTAAAAATATATTAATTTTGTTATTGTTGTAGAGAATATACACAGCAAAACATACACCAATTCAACAATTTCTACATGTACAATTCAGTGGCACTGATTACATTCTTCAAGTTGTGCAACCATTCTCATCCTCCTTTTCTGAATTGTTCCTCCCCCATTAATATAAACTCACTGCCCCATAAGGGTCCTACCTAATCTTTCAAGTCACTGTTGTCAATATGATCCCATATAGATAGTTCTTAAAAGAGCATAATGCTCAAGACAGACGTTTTTTACTAGTTAAACTGAACTATTGTTTGTTTTAAGAGGACTTCAGGGGATATTTCTGGTTTAAGGTTTGAAGATTATCTGTGGGCAACAGTTTCAGGGGTTCATCCAGTTTCCATGGCTCCAGCAAGTCTGGATTCCATGAGGATCTGAAATTCTGTTCTGCATCTTTTCCCTTTTGATCAGGATTCTTCCACAGAATCTTTGAACAAAATGTTCAGTAATGGTAGCTGGGCACCATCCAGTTCTTCTGGTCTTATGGCAAAGCAGGCAGTTGTTCATGGAAGCCACAGTAATTTTTATTGCTGTTGGTTAACCTTAATACTTCATAAAATTTAGAAGAAAAATGCCTTATTTTGAAAAGTTGAAAGGGAAGACGAGAGGGAAAAGATTAAACTCTTTAGCAAGTCAAATAAGATGTCAAAATCTCTTCACTTAAGTATTTTTTATAAAAGCATTTTAAGTTTTGCTAAACTATAAAGCTAAACGTCAACAGTAACATTTTTTTCAGTTTCTAAGTAGATACAGAGGTGAAAAGAGTGAACAGGTATGGATTAAAGTGATAAGCAACTTTTCTCAATATACAAAATTGAGATTGTGTTGAAGTTTCAGAAAGTTAATAATGAAGGGAGGGGGGAAGAAGTATAAAGGACATGAACTATAATTAGGAAAAAGGCAGATGCTATATAGAGTATTTCACGGAGATTCTTAACTCATTCCAAAGGTAGAAAAATCTGAAAAAAATAAGGTCAGGTAGCAGCATATATTATAAATAGATTTAATATGCTTTTTAAAAATCTTGGAGAAAAATGTGTAAAACTTCAAACAACATAAACCAACCATAAGGCAGAAATAACTAGAATTTTTTTGTAAAACTATTGGATAATATCTATTCAGGATGGATGGCTGAAAGACTTTAGGAAATGTCCTCTGACTGAAATACTGTTCAGTTTTAGTATACTCTATGGAGATAAGCAACTTAAGCAGATGGTCAATTTTGGAGGAGAAACACGAATCAGGCTGTAAAGTAAGTAAGGTTATAAAGTAGAACAAATGGTCTGGTTTTATATGAATCTATTTACATTTAAAAAGATATAAACCACATGTTGGTTAAAACATTAGGCCCTAAACATGTGCTATGTATACCAACCTATGACAATACAATTTGACAGGAAGCTAAAACAAGAAGCACATTTATAAATATTAAATTTTTAACAGGAATCAATTAACTAGTTTATAGAGTCATTTCAAGTCAGATAGGAGACCTAACTACAAATGGTGCTCTATATGGTGAAAAGAAAAATTAGATTTCTGCTTTTAATGAATGTTATCCAATAACTTTCACATGGTTAAAAATATTAATATTTTAATCCTTACCTAGTTTTTCCAGATGTATTTTTTACCACTTTTCTGAAAGACTGATTTGCAGCAGATCTTGTAGAAAGTGTTCGAGGGGATGCGCGAACAAAACTGGACGGTGGATTCTTAGGGATCTTCTTTACTAAATGAGTTACCCATTTCTTTTGTTCATCCTGAGAACATGCTAACAGCAGCATATCTCTTGCTGATGTTACATCATAACTTACTATATATTAAGATTAAAAAAAAGAAAAGCACAATTGAAGCCACATAATATTAAAAGAAAAAGATTATTAAAAGGTAATTTTTCAAGTTTTTAAGGTTTATTTAAAAGATATACTATTCTTAAATAAGCTTGGACAATATCCCTCTCTCCCCAATGTAATTAAGGCTGAAAATTTTAAAAGAAACATTAGTCATAAACTAATAAGCAAAATGAAGTAAAATCAGAAATATAAAATCAATGCAGAAGTGAAGCAAGTGAATGTAGTCACAGAATACAATTTTCTTATCTTAAAATGGCAATGCCCTGAATTATTTCCCTCAAGCCATCTCTGCTAGGCTAGAAGACATTTTGTCTATGACACAGCATGCTGGTCCAGACAAAAAGAAATGAAACGGGAGGTAAAAATTCAAGGGGGGAATACAGTGGAACTCACCTATTAACTCTTGTGATATAGAATGACTTCTTAGTGGCATGAGTTTACAAAGAGGTGACATTCTTAAATACATTATGTTCAAAGCTAAATCTGTAGCTGTGGAACGATAGGAAACCCTGGTGGCATAGCAGTTAAGCGCTATAGCTGCTAACCAAAAGGTCAGCAGTTCAAATCCACCAGGCGCTCCTCGGAAACTGTATGCGGCAGTTCTACTCTGTCCTATAGGGTCACGATGAGTCGGAATCCACTCGACAGCAACGAGTTTGGGTTTTTTCGGTGGAATGACAGGTGCTTTTTGTTCCACCAAGGTCAAAATAAAGAGCCCTGGTGATACAATGGTTAAGTGCTCAGCTGCTAACCGAAAGGTTGGTGGTTCGAATCCACCCAGTGGCTTTGGGAGAAAGACCTGGCAATCTGCTTCCGTAAAAGATTACAGCCAAGAAAACTTAAGGACTCAGAATTGACTCAACGGCGCTCAAAAATAACAGTATCAAAATACTACTTTTTATAACCTCTTTGCACCTTGGTACAGCAAATGCTACACTTGAAGAATTTATTTCACTGGAATTTAAAGCTGATTTGTGAAAGTTGTAAAAATAATTCTTTAACATGCCTTACCTTTACAGGGAGAAATCAAGTCCTCTTTCTTATCTAAATGGTCTCTGTGGCACTTTACATGGCATCTTCGACATTCCAGGGCAGGGGGTGGCTTGAAAACATGCCAGAGAGGTTTGGCACAGGCCTCACAGTTGGCTGGGAAGTGGTAGAGTGTTGGGATGAACTCATGACCTTTGTGATTTTGAAAATTGGCTTTTTCAGCTTGTTGTACTGGTTCCATCTCTACTTCTTTTCTACATTCACCTTCATTTGCATATAATATCTATATTCAGAAGTGGTAGAAGGAAAAAGATACAAAAAGATCTTAATCTATACCTACAAGTTTCAAATATATAAAAGCCTGGTATATTTTACATTTACTTAACAAAATGTGCTTAGTACTTAGGTAAAAGATCTTTAAAAACTATAATATCAGATTTTTACCTGGAATATTTTAGGAATTTCTTCAGTTTCAGCTCTGTACACATCCCCTTGGGTTACAGGTCGAACATGAAACAGTTTACTAAAACAAAAATAAACATGATATAGGCCATTACAAATAATCATTGACGGCAAAAGACATGAACAGACATTTCACTGAAGAGGACATACAGATGTCAAATAAGCACATGAAGATGTTCAACATCATTAGTCATGAAGGAAATGCATAACTAAAACCACAATGAGATATCAATATACACCTATCAGAATGGCTAAAGCAAAACATAGTGATAATACCAAATGCTGGCAAACATGTAGAAACTGAATCACTTACACACTGCTGGTGGGCATGAAAAATTGTTATTGCCACTCTGGAAAATAATATGGCAGTTCCTTACAAAGTAAACATATATGTCCCATATAACCGAGCAATTGTACTACTGGGCATTTATTTCAAAAAAAAAGAAAAAGAAAAATTATATCTACACAAAAATCTGTACATGAATGTTCATACTAGCTTTATTAATAATAAACAAAAACTGAAAACAACACGAATGGTTAAATAAACTGCGGCAAATTCATGCTGCGGAATACTACTTAGCGATAAAAAGGAACAAACTGCAACTCTGATGCGTCTCAAGGGAATTACGTGAGGGGAAAAAAGTCAATCTCAGAGATTCCATTTATATAAGATCCTTGAAATAACAAAGTTATAAAGATGGAGACAGATTAGCGGTTGCCAGAGATTAGGGAGGGATGGAGAAAGAGAGCTGCCTGTGGCTATAAAAAGGATCCCGGTGGTGCAACAGTTCTGTTTTCACTGTGGTGATAGTCACATGAATCTATACATGCGATAAAACTGCATAAACACATACATGTGCATGTCTGCTCACATGCACACACATAAATGAGTACATGTTAAACTGGTGAAATCTAAGCAAGGCTGGTAGACTGTATCTCTGCCAATATCCTGGCCGTAATAATGTACTACAGTTTTCCAAGATGTTTCCAGTGGGGGAAACTCAGTAAAGGGTATGTGGAGATTTCTCTGTATTCTTTCTTTCTCATTTTTTTCTATTGTGTTTAGGTAAAAGTTTACAGAGCAAATTAGTCTCTTTCTTACAACTACATGTTACTCTATAATTATCTCAAAATAAAGTTAAACTCATTTACATAAAAATCAACCAGCTTCTCATTTATTGACTACTACACCCAACAACTGTAGAATACAGATACTTATTAAAGTGTACATGGAACATTAACCAAGAAAAACCGTATGTTGGACCATAAAATAAGTCTTAATAGACTTCAATGCCCCAAATATTTGGGAATTAAGTAACATACTACTAAACAATGCATGTTGCTGTTGTTCTCAGGTGCCGTCGAGTCAGTTCCGACTCATAGCGACACCATCAACAAAAGAACAAGACACTGCCTGGTCCTGCACCATCCTCACAACTGTTGCTATGTTTGAGTCCACTGTTGCAGCCACTGAGTCAGTCCATCTCGTTGAGGGTCTATCTCTTCTTTGCTGACCCTCCACTTTACCAAGCATGATGTCCTTCTCCAGAGACCGATTCCTCCTGATAACATGTCCAAAGTACGTGAGATGAAGTCTCGCCATCCTTGCTTCTAAGGAGCATTCTGGCTGTACTTCTTCCAAGACAGATTTGTTCATTCTTCTGGCAGTCCTAAGCATATTCAATATTCTTCCCAACACTATAATTCAAAGGCATCGACTCTTTTTTGGTCTTCCTTATTCAGTTATCTAATAGATCTAATAAAGTCTAGCACTTTTTTGTTGTGGTAAAAATATATGCAACAAATCATTGGCCAAATCAATTTTTATGCGTATAATTCAGCAATATCAATTACATTCATCATGTTGTGCAACCACCACCACTATCTTTTTCCAAATTATTCCACCACTGTTAACAGAACCTCAGTGCCCCCCTGAACAATGACTCCCCCTCAACCCCTGGTAACCATTAATAAACTTTGGTCTCTATATAGTTGCCTGTTTCATGTAAGTGGGATCATGCAATATTTATCCCTTTTGTGACTGACTTATTTCACTCAGCATATTAAGGTTCATCTATGTTGTTGCACGTATTAGGACTTCATTTCTCTTTATGGCTGAGTAATATTCCATCGTATAACACATTTTGTTTATCCATTCATCTGTTGATGGGCACTTGTTTGTACCTTTGGGCTACTGTGAAAAGTGCTACAATGAACACTGGTGTCCAAGTTTCTGTTTGCATTCCTGCTTTCAATTCTTTTGGTTATATACCTAGGATTGGGATTGCTGAGTCATATGGTAATTCTATGTTTAACCTTTTAAGGAACCGCCAAACTGTTTTACACAACATTCTGCAAACCCATCAGCAATGGACAAGGGATCCAATTTCTCTACATCCTTGTCAACACCTGTTATTTTCTGTTTTTTTGATCATAGCCATTTAACTACGGTGAAGCCCCTGGGTGGTGAAAACAGTTAACAGGTTCGACTGCTAACCAAAAGGCTGCAGGTTCAAATCCACCCAGAGGCGTCTTGGAAGAAAGGACTGGCTCTTTATTTCCCAAAACTCAGCCACTGAAGACCCTATGCAGCACAGTTCTGCTCCTATACACATGGGGTTGCCATGAGTCAGAATTGAGTAGATAGTAACTGGTTTTGGAAGTGGTATTATCATTGTGGTTTTGATTTGCATCTCCCCAGTGACTAATGACACTGAGCATCTTTTTATGTGCTTGTGGCCATTTGTATATCCTCTTTTGCTAAATGTCTATTCAGGTTCTTTGTGCATTTTTTGATTGGGTTGTTCATCTTTTTGTTTTTCAGTTGTAGGAGTTCTTTATATATTTTGGATATTAAACTCTTATTAGATATACGGTTCTCAAAAATTTTCTCCCAGTCTGTAGGTTGTCTCTTCATTTTGTTGAAAAACTCCTTTGATGCACAAAAGGTTTTAATTTTGATGTAGTCCAATTTATCTATTTTGTCTGGCTGCTCATGCTTTTGGTGTCATATCTAAGAATCCATTGTTAAAAAGTAGGTCCTGAAGCATTACCTCTGTTTAAGTAATATCTAAGAGTTTTATACTTTTCAATTTCACACTTAAGTGCTTTATCAATTTTGGATTAATTTTCACAGATGGTGTGAGTTATGAATCCAGCTTCTTTCTTTTGCATTGGAAATCCAGCTGCCCCAGCACCATTTATTGAAGAGACTCTTCTTTCCCCATTGTCAAAAATTAATTGATGATAGATGTGTATTTCTGGACTCTGAATTCCATTTTATACCAGTACCAGAAACATATGATTACTGTAGCTTTACAGTATATTTGTTTTGAAATACAAATTTGAGGATTGGCTTTTCCATTTTTGCAAAGAAGGCTGTTGGTATTTTGGTGGGGAATGCACTGAATCTATTAGATTGCCTTGGGTAATACCGACATCTTAACAGTATTAAGTCTTCCAACTCATGAACAAGCAATGTCTTTTCATTTATTTAGCTCTTCTTTAATTTCTTTTAGTAATGTTTGACAGTTTTCAGTGTACAAGTGTTTTACTTTCCTGGTTAAATTTATTCCAGGTATTAATAATTACTTTAGATGTTGTCTAGTACTTTTAAAGATCTCAAAAAGTAAATCAAAGTTATCTAACTAAACAGTTGAAAGATAACATCTTTCATATTTGTGTTTATGTATTATTCCACTTAGGTTAATCATTTAACTTTTCACAACTTTTTTTTTTTTTTTTTTTAATTGGCAAATTAAATATCAGTACTCTCTGGTACTTGCTCAGTTCTTCTTACATTCAAACTCTGACTTGGATCCATGAATGTTTAATTCCAAAGGAATGGTTATGCTTCATTTAAAGTTTATATTTTTCTTGAATAACACTTATCATAGTTTGCTCTGAATTTAAATTTTGTGTATGTCTTACCCTTCCTACTACTAGACTGTAAGCTCCTTAAATATGGAACTTACTTTATATATTCTACATTCTACCTACGATGACACAGGCAGCTGTGTTTAAGTAATGTTTTTAGAATGAATACAAGGGAAACAAAACAAAACAAAAAACCCTAAACCCTTTGTTTACTACAGGCCTCTTTGAACTACTATAGAAAAAGAACAGGTAGATTTTTATTTCCCTCTTAATAATAGCCAATTAATCCTATACTTTTTGAGATGCTTTCTGAAATCAAAACCACTAAGTGTTTGGAATCAAAAGTTTGTCTTTAGAGCAGAAGAATCAAGTTTACAATTATACACATTGTTCCCCACTCACATTTTGCTAAAGTAAGATTTAATATCAAGTTAATATTTAAATTGGTTAAGAAAAATAGAAAAGTAGGTAACATTAACTGTTTAAATAACATACGTATAAAAGTCATGGTAAGATGGCTGCCTCTTCTAATTAAAAGTAAGGATAAAAATGATTGCTTATCATAAGTTAACACTCAATTGGCTTAAAATTCAATCAAAGGCAACTTACTCTATATCCAATACCATAGATGGATTGGATTGTTCCTTTTCTTGTTCATCATTATAGAACAAAATTTTTTTGCTGCTTACCACAACATACTGAAATGAAAAAAAAGGGGAAAGAGTTATAGGAGCAACATTAACTTGGTTCAAAATGGTAAGCGTAGTGTTTGCCATGTCTATCTAGATTATAATGTCATTAATCTAAAATCAATGCTAATAATACAGCAGTTAGTGTAAATTCTATGTTTTAAAAGTAAAATATATAACAAAATATCAGTTTAAAAAAAATGAGGCATATGGTACCTGTTTCTTCCAGCCGTATCGTTTGATATTTCCTCTGTTTGGTACTGAAAGCCAACCTTCAATTCTTGACTCTAGGACAAAAAGAACATATAGTGTTCAATCTTAAATAGTAACAAAAGGAAAAACTATTACAAGTTGTCTGACGGCATGCAGCAACAAGCATCTGAACACAGCTAAATGAATAAGTGCTATAATCTGCTCTTTCATGCTTCAATCACACAAATTAACTTCAATGGCCATACAAATATTACAGAAAAAATTTCAAGCCACTTTTGCATAAAATTAACATTTAGTACTCAGTTATAAAAGTATGAAGTACCAATACCCTTAAGAGCCAGGCAAGACTGGAATGGACTGCAGCTTAAATGGGATATGACATAAAAGACTTTAAATATCATTTAACATTCATATAAAAATACTTAGCAAAAAAAAAAAAAAAACAACAACAAAAAAAGATGCAGCAAGTGGAACAAATCAGAGCCATGGTTTACACAAGAAAGAGCAAGCAAAAGTACAGAAGTGTCCTATTACTCACAGAAGACAAGAATAGAAGATAAATAAATAAGGAATGCAGGCAGAATCAACTAGATATAAAGAATAAGAGACAAACATTTTATTTGTTTTCTCAGGACAATATTCTGATAAACTTTTCTGTAAAATACCCATAACAATTTCAACAAACTTGTCCAAATATGGTTGGGTGGTGGTGGTACATAATTCTAATGTTATGTCCAATTATGATTTTTCTCAAACTAAAGAAGTGTAGGCAGCCTTTCAAAAGTTTGTGGTACTGTAGCTTAATAAACAGTAAAAAAAAAAAAAAAAATTCAATTGGTCAACTGCTATTTCAATAAGTTTGTGCATATCAGAAATTCCTTGACTAATTCAATCAAGGCATTTAATAACAGTCATTACTACTGTTTAAATGTAATTAATGATTATTAGAAATATCTGGAGGAAAACGATTCCACTAGAAATGTAACACCAGGTTGGAGATGAGTATTCATTCAATTCAAGTATTTTCTAAATCTATCTAATAAATCTATCTAATATTTGCAACACAAAAAAACAGAAAAGTAACCAACTTTAAAGTATAATGCTATAATGTGACATACAATGACTTAAATCATGATCCTAATGGGAATATATAGTGCCCCCCTCTATATAACTTAAAAGCTGTAAAGTTCAGTCTTACAGTGATAACATCAAATAGGCAACATTTACTGAATATTTATTATTTGTCAAGTGCTTTACAAGCAATATCTCACATACAACCCTACATACCGTCTTATGAAGCAAGTTCTACTATTATCCTCCATTTACAAATGAAGAGATTAAGATTTAGCAAGGTGAACTGACTTGCCCAAGAATACTCTATTAGTAACTGTAGAAGGTCTAGGGTTCAAATGCAAGCAATCTAATTTCAGAGTTTGTTCCTAGAGCACAATGTTATTCTGTCTCCAAATAAGCCTTGTGGCTAATTGAACTAGGGGTAATGTTGCTTCTGTTCCAACTTCTACCACCTACTTAATGTCTCTACACATTGGCTTGTGTTATTCTCCTTCATCTAAACTGTTGTTGTTAAAGTGGAGGAAATAATGAAGTAACTTCAATTCAAAATGATCCGTCTCTTCTCCCAACTTTTGTTTTCTTAGTTGCTGTTACTTCATAATTACTTTGTTTCCTTGGGCAGGCCCTTGGTAAGTTCTGTGAGAGAGGGGACCATTTCTAATACTTGTTTTGTACACCCCATGGCATGTGGCACGTAGAATATGTGCTTCACAAATGTTTGATTATTTTGCAATCTTCCTTGTTTTGAATTACCCAATTAAAGTCACCCCTTGTAAATAACTGTTTCAGTTTAAATTGCATGCAGAAGGCTGCGGATTATGTATTGCTTATTGATAAATATTTTATCTTACAAAAGCAAAGAAGTTATTGCTAGGAAAATTTCCTTTTAGTCTAAGTGGCAAAAACTGCAACTCTTAAAGTGTGGTCTGGAAAACAGTACGATGAACAATAGTTAAAATGAAAAGTAGTCTTAATATCTGGTATTATTCCTGAGTCTATTTAATGTAAGTAATTCCTCATTGAAAATCAAAAGATGTGAAAGCCAAAGAAATTTTGACAAAATTATGTATGCCAAAATAACCACCATAACCTCCTCCCAGTTATTTCTATATGAGAATAAATGCCAAGAATATTTCTACTGACTCTAGATTTGAGTTAACCTGCCAGTGTTTTCTTTAACATATTTTCAATGAGCTGTTACATATTATGACTTTATGTCAATGTGAAGCTGAGATTTATGTCATTTCAGCGTTTTTACACAAACTTTATGTATCAAAGGCTTTTGGCATTTCATGAATCAAATAAGCTCCAGATTTTATATATTTGTAGAGCAATTTTAACTCACAAAAACATTAGATGTGTTATTACTGGGATATCAGCCATAAAAGAGAAAGAGAGGCAAACTGTACGTAAACCAATATCCAATATAGCCAATTTAAATTTCCATGAAAACTATCAAAGTTTTTTAAAAAAAAATTTATTTTTTATTGTATTTTAGATGAAGGTTTACAGAGCAAATTAGTTTCTCATTAAACAATTAATATACATATTGTTTTGTGACATTGGTTGCCACCTACATGACATGTCAGCGCTCTCCCCTTCTCGACCTTGGGTTCCCCGTTACCAGCTTTCCTGTTCCTCCTGCCTTCTCATCCTTGCCCCTGAGCTGGTGTGCCCATTTAGTCTCGTTTTGTTTTATAGGCCTATCTAATCTTTGGCTGAAGGGTGAATCTCAGGAGTGACTTCTGTACTGAGTTAAAAGGGAGTACGGCAGCCATACTCTCGGGGTTTCTCCAGTCTCTGTCAGACCCGTAAGTCTGGTCTTCTTTAAAAACATTTTTTTTTAACATTCTTTTTAGATTTTTAGGTCAACAGTTCCAGAAGGAAAAAACAGAAAAAATGCGGAAAGAGAGGCAGTTACCACTTTAAAGTCTTCTTGTCATCTAAGCAACAAGCAAACTGTAACCCTAAAGGTAATCTTTACATTTACACAGTGTGCTAGGCCACCACCTGCCACAGAACCAAAGGGAGGATGGAAATGAAAGAATTAGAAGAATGAAAGTGATATGTCAAGAACTCCAAAGTGCTGTAAGTCAGAGAAAGAGTCACACTTTTTCTAAGATTTTTACAATGGGGAAACTCATAGAAGAGATTTAATCCAGTTAATGACAAGATGCCCACTGAGATTATAGAGGTTAAGCTCTAGATGTACAGGATAATTAAATGAGAATCTTTATACTGAATGATGAAATCTAAGATGAGTAATGAAAGTCATGGTATCAGTTCATTCACCCAACAATTTTAGAAACCATCTCACTGAACTAAAAATATGTTCCATATTTCAAAAGGCCATTATCATAAACGTTGAGTAAAGTCATTCTACTCAAAGTTCTCTCTTTTTTAGTCTGTAGTTTAAATTTACTACAGGTAGTCCCCGATTTACCACATATTCGATTTACGACAAACTGCACTTATGACTGTCAGTGTATCTGGAACACTGCATCTTCCTGGGAGGAAGTTACAGAAATATGCATGCAGGAGATATGGAAAAAATTGCTGAGTTATGTGAACACGCTCCAAGCATTTGATCAGGATAATATGATGGAAGAGATCGATGGAAAAACAATCCATATGGCAAGAATGCTGAATCCAGAGTTTGATATTGCCGATATGGAACAGTTCACAGATTACGAAGAAGGGGAATCCACAGATCAGCACTTAATAGATTTTGAACAGGAAAGAAATAACAAGGAAGAGGAAGGAGAGAAGTTGTCAAAACTTTTTACAATGTCAGGATTAGCTGGAGTTTTTTCTAAACTAAATCAAGGGCTTCAGTTACTTGAAAACATGGACCCAAACACTGATTTCTCTGCTAACGTCAATAGGCAGATTAGAAAACAGTAAAATGTTACTGAAAATGTATGAAGAAAAAAAGAAAAGGACCGTACAGACAAATTCTCACTAATTTTCTGATTAAGACCACCACCCACATTCCCAGGGATAATCCAGATGATCCAGAACGTTCCACGAGTGGAGTTATTACAGCAACTGACAAAACGCCAATGTCTTCCAATTCTTTTTCATCGTCAGAGTAAATTTTATGATATATTTTTTATGCATGTACATATGTATTAAAATCTATCTGTAAGTTTATATGTAATGTTTCCAACCCCCAAGGACAAATAAAGATTGTATTTATAAAGATACTGACAATAAAAGGCAATAATAATAATGAAAACTAAATTTAAAAAAAAAAGAGGTATTCCACTTATGTCAGAACTAACTTACAACAGAGCCGTTGGAATGGAACCCTGTCGTAAGTCGGGGACTGCCTGTAATTTTCTAAAGTAGGTGAAAATTAATCATTAGTCATTACCTTCAAGAAATCTTTCAGACACTTGAAGGATATGTTACTTTCTCATATTAAGAATGAACATCCAATTTCTTTAATAATCTCTCCTAAATATGACTGCAAATCTTAATTTTATATACTACAAATCATTTTTAAACATCTAAGAAATGGTAAATTTGACACAGACTTTCAATTTACTAGCAGAATATCTGGTTCAGAGAGAGGTAAAAGAACACTGATAAACATCATCCATTCGCTTCTGCTTCCAACATGAAATTACAAGGGTTCAGCACTGCTGAGATCTTTTGTAAAACTTTAAGAGTGAGAACATGACAGGGAAAGGGATACTTCACTCGTCTCATTTATGGCAATAGAGAAAGGCCACCAGTACACTTTTTGAACTTTGAAAACCTTTAAAACAAAATCCCTCAAAATACAGTATTCTATGTAATATACTTAGAATGGAGCCAGTAGAAACATTTTAAAATATCTTTGCTGACTGATTTTTAAGCAGATTTATGAAATCTAAATGGATCCTTAAGTCTGCCAATAAAATCCTTTAATTTAGCCTTCCTGAGTAAGCCAGGACGGAGGATAAAATTCACCACCTTCCTCTTCTCTAGAGGTCCCCCCAACTCCTTCTTTCAATTCAGATCTCCTGAACAGCATTCACCAATAGTGATTCAGTCTCTGAAACCTTTAAATGAATACAGAGAAAATCAAGACACACATAATAAGACACTGTAATAAGCAAAGTTAAAGGGAAATGGGTACAATAAGGACAAAGAACCTGGTCATATATTTAACCAACACTAAACTGAGTAATGTTTAGTGCTGCAATGGTTAAGGGCTCGGCTACTAACCAAAAGGTTGGGGTTTGAACCCACCCAGTGGCTCCGTGGGAGAAAGACCTGGCGATTTGCTTCTGTGAAGATTACAGACAAGAAAAGCCTATGGGGTAGTTCTACTCTGTCGTGTGGGATCACTATGAGTTGGAATCGACTCAATGGCACCTAACAACAACAACAACAAAACAGTAAGAATCCTTTCATTAAGTAAGTCTAGAAATACTGTGGTAAGGTTAAGGAAGAAGGAATCTAAACTAATTTCAGTTCAACAACTGAAAGAATATAGCCAAATATTCCTATAATTCATACTCTTAACTGATGATTAAGTCTAACTTTAGAAAGATGTTCAGACAACAGTGGAAGCTAGAGGTTCTTGTTAAATCCAAAGTGATCTGCTGATAAGGATGTGTACCCACATTACAAGTTTCTCAAGAGGCAAGAGGTTTCAGAGAGCCAAAAGGAGGAAAAACAGAATGAATCCCTTGACCAATGGAATAAAAAATATTCCTTTCCTTCCCAGATACCTGATTTTAGGTTAGAGGATGCACAAAAAAACAAGGGCAGGGATCACATGTTATATAAATAAGAACTGAATTCACTTCCCATTTTGAGTCCCACTTGCTTGACCAAGAAAGACAGCATAAAATTTTCTAAACAGTTTATTAAACCTCTGATATCAATTTCTCAAAACACAAGTAATATATGTTAAAACAGAATCCCTATATCAAACATGCTCCTTCATAAATATCTTTCTATTCATGCATTATTCAGAAAATAGATTATTAAAATTTTCAAATTTATTACTGTATTAACAAAACTTCCAAAACCATGAACTAAGACTACATAATATACCCAATGTACATATATGCATTTAGAATTTGTAATGCATGTTTCAATATTTATAATTTATTCAGTTTATTTCTAAACTGGATCTGTAACATGGTCACCTCTGTTAAAAAGACATAAAATGTACTACAGCTTACATAATAGTCAACTATAGAATGAGGCTGTGTTTATTTTTTAATTGATTCTCCACTGGAAAAAAAAGACACAGAAAAAAGTATGAAATCTTAGCCACTCACTTCTGCCTTTATTTGACCCCCTGTCCCTTAGTGCATCTCCCAACCTCTTTTATCTATTCAGCAAACCTGAAACTTAAAATCTGATAAAAGTTTATCACTCTACATTAGGTGCGCTTATATATATATAATTATAAATGTATGTGTGTATATATACATATATATGATTGTGAAATACAGTTCTTAGTTTTAGCACAAGAATATTTAAACTTTAAAGAGCTGCTACTCATAAAGACAGGTACAATTTTCTTTACAGTGAGAAGTGTAATAGCAGCTTTGACTCTCGCCATGGAGTTAGGCTGCTCAGTATAGGTTCATAAACCTCTTCTGGTTTCTTTTCAAGTAGTTTCTCAAACTTACTTTAGGAGTCCAAGATTGCTTATGACTGATTTTTTTTCCTATAAAATGCACTAAGTATGCAATTATCATCAGGCCTTGGCTATCAGAGGTACAAAACCAACTGAAAGAAACACAGATTATTTTCCATGACATGTAAGTATACTTGAATGAAGTAATAGAAATATTCTTACCTGGAAGGTTTCCGTCAGTTTCATCAGCACTAGGAAAACTAGCAACACTTGTGGAATCCGAAAGGTCTAAAAGTTTAGCACGCAACTGCTCAATATCACTCTCTTTGCTAGCCAACTGCATCTGAAGTTCATTCCTATGTGTACTTTCTTCTGCCAATTGCTATTTTTGAAAAATATCAAGATAAAGAATCAGACTCAAATAATTTCCAACATTAAGAATTAACTGAAATACAAATGACAAGTACAGGCAGTCCCCGGGGTTATGAACATCTGACTTACATACAAAGCCCAGTTAGGAACCAACCCTCATAAAGCCTAGTATATTAAAAATTCGAGGTACATACAATGGTTTGTAATAACAAACCAGTGCTACTTCATGACGTGCATTGAAACATTATTATTATTACTGTCTTATTATGTTACAGATGCTTTAGTGTATTTGGAAGCGTTCCTTTAATTTTTTTTACGCATAGAAAGGTATACTATATACTATATACTAAGACAAACATTTGACTGACTGACATTAGATATGAACTGTACCTAACTGTTCAGATTTATGTACAAATTCGACTTAAAGACAGATTTAGGAATGGAACTCATTCATAATCTGGGGACTGTCTGTAATCTAAATTGCTAATAAAAATTTACAGAAAACTTCACAAATGTTTATACCATCAATACACTGTAAAAATGCAACTTCTCTTCTTCAGTTATACATTGCTTCAAAGAATGAATGGTCACTGGATAAGCTCCTTTTCTCCTTGGCTTTAAACAACTTTTTTTTAAAAAAATAAAAGGCATTAAAAAAAACCTATTAAAACAATAGAAAAATGCTTTTACGGCTCCAACGAAATAGCTTAAAGGTACAATAAGCTTCTCCGGATGGTAAAACCATAAATGATGGAGTGAATGCTTGGATCTATGTCTGTCTAATACCAGAGACCATGCTGTCAATTTTATGTTATTGAACAAACCAGGAAGTATCAAAAAAAAATTAAGCTTGATCCTTTGATTTCAGATAAGTGAGAAAACAAGCCATGATACTGTAAAACCTCTACCATAACTACAGTCAACTTATTTTACTAGCCATACCTTAATTTCAGTCTGAAACCAATGAGGCAAAACCCTTGGTTGTCTCTCTCAATGTAAGGCCTCTAGCCAAGCAGCTGCTAATGGGTAAAAATTATTCGAGCTATAATGGTTAATAAGGCAGCAGAGCTCTCTTCTAGTTTTTCAAGGTCTTGGCTTATATTAGAGTAATAATGATCAAATTGTGGGGAATATAAACCAAAATATGCATTTTATACTTTAAAAATCCAATCTAAACAATATCAATTGATAACAGGTATATATAATAACAGTTCAAGAACATAATTCTATACACATATATTCTGTCTCTCTCAAATCTTACCGCCTGCATGTCATTCAGTTCCTTCTGATGTTTCACTACCATCTGGTTGAATTTCTCTCTTTCTTGGTTGAGTTCCAGCTGTAGTTTTCGATTTTCCTTTTCCTTCTTTCTTAAATCTTGCATATTAGCTTTCTTTCTATCAATTTTAAAATCTTTTCGATTCATTATTTCTGCCAACTTGTTAACAGCCTATTCAATATATTGAAAGATTATTAATAAGAACATGTATTTAAATCTTCACTAAAAATATATGTATTTATTCTTCAAAATGAGAAAGCAGGCCTTTTTTTGTGTATGAAAATTAGGAGAACCTAATGAAGGCCGGGATATGATAACTGGTAGAGCAAGTAACTATTACTGATTTATCTCATTGCTCAAATGTAAGAGCCAGACAGGTTGGCAAAAATTCATTCACCACTCAACAATTTTCCAGCACTTATTATATTGTAGACACTCTGATATGCACTGTATACAGAGGTAGAAAATACAGTTATGCTTCAAAGACATCCTAGTGCGGTGGAGGAGCCAGACAAGTAGGCATCACAGTACAGAGTGGTGCCTAAGAAGAACGAGGCATGCAAGGGTGATATGGGAGCAGTACCTAATAGACTTGGAGAGGTCAGGGAAGGCATCCTTGAGTATCTGCAAATGTATCCACATATTCTTCTTAAGAGATAAATAGGAGTTGGATAAGCAAAGAGGAAATGGTATGAGGCGGGACAGTCAGAGATGGTATTATAAACAGAGGTAGCAGTACACAGGCAAAAAGGCCCAAGAGAATTTTTTCCGTTGGACGAGTAGGGGGCAGGGTACCTGCCTCGGCCCTTCTGAAGGTGAAAGGGAATGTAAATATAGTTGAGACTAATCCCTTTTGCCAGAAGAAAAAAATATGTTCAAAATGAGAATTGTGCGTACAAAATCAGCTACATAAATTATAAAACACGGTTAAGTCATGGTATACATGCTCTGCAGTAATGTATGAAAAGAGAAAGCAAAAAGCCTAACCAATATCATTTTCATAGAGATTAGGTCCCATCTGGGATGAAGTATCCTGAATAAATTTTTTTTAATGCAGTAAAAGCTTACTCAACTCAACTCATAAATGCATTTTTCCCCTAATAATAAACTTAACACGTATTTATTTTAAAAAAATCAAAGGCAAAGATATTATTATGAAGAAAGCGAAAAGTCCTTGTAATATCACTCCTCAAAAACCACTTCTGCTAAAGCCTTCTCTTTTCTTTGAATCTGCTGTCTAGATCATTTCCTGTACATATAAATAGATTACATATGTATTTAAGGTAAAAAACAGAATCACGCTATAAGTTCTTTGCTGCAACTTGCTTCTTTCATTTAATACTGTATCATATATCAAGGATAATATTATTTTCCCATATCACTACATATAAATCTACCTCATTTATTTTTAATGGCTCCTTTGTATCCCATTGTACGGATGTATCATGACTTAGTTATCGAACTACATTGATGGAAGGTTGAGTTATTTTCATTATTAAGAATAATGCAGCAGTATTACATTTGTCTATACTTCTTTAGAGTATTTGTGGAAGCATTTACACAGAATAAATTCCTAAATGCGCAGTTACTGGGTCACAGAATATGCACATTTAAATGCTTTATTCTGCTATATTATTCTTATAGTTTACTCCTTTGAACAGTATATGAATGAATTTTTCCCTTCATATCCTTGGGTATGAGATCTCAGTTAAATCTCTGTTAATCTGATTGTCAAAAAAGACTTCTTCTTCTTATTGTTTTAATGTATATTTTTTGGTTTCTTATCGGAGTTGAATATTTTTAAATTTATTGTCCATTTACTTGTCTCTGAATTGTCCCTACTTTATTTTTTCTATTGGACTGTCTTTTTCATATTTCTTGGTGCTCTTTATATTTTTTTATATTTGCTGTTTAAACATTTTCCCCAGTTTTCTTTCAGTCTTAACGTTGTTTTGGGCTTCATAGATACTTGATTTTTATGCAATGAAATGTCAATCTTTTCCTTCACGGTCTCTGTCTTGGTGTAAAGGTATGTAAAACCTCCACTGAAGGATCTTTTAAATTTGTTTCGCTGTTGTTGTTGAGACTATACACAGCAAAACATACACCAATTCTACAGTTTCTACATGTTCCATTTAATGACGCTGATTAAGTTATTTGAGTTGTACAACCATTCTCACCCTCCTTTTCTGAGTTGTTCCTCCCCCATTAACACAAACTCATTGCACTCTAAGGTTCCCATCTATCTTTCGAGTTGCTGTTGTCAATTTGATCCCATATAGATAGTTCTTAAAAGAGCATGATGCTCAAGGCAGATATTTTTTACTAGTTAAGCTGAACTATTGTTTGGTTTTAAGAATACTTCAGGGGATATTTCTGGTTTAGGATTATGTGCATTTTTGAAAGATTACTCTTGTTACAACATAATTGACTGGAGGAGGAGTAGACTAGTGATAAGGAGGTTATTATAATTACTTAATAAAAAGTAGAAAATATTTTACTGTAAAAATGAACTTAGGTACATGGCAGTTTATGAAGAATTTAAACTACTGAATAACAGTAAAACAAGAAATGAAGTTTTAGTGTAAAAAATCTAATCTAGATGCATCATTAAATACAAAGCAAAATGATACATCCACCCCTACGGTTTCTTACTTATTCCCAAACCTTTTATCTTGTTTTAGATCAAGTCTGTCGTCTCTTCATTAAGTTTTCCCACTGTCAATTAAAGTCTTCTTCTGTACAACGTAAAACAAGTTCTTAACAGCCAAATAACAAGTTAGTTTTCTTAAGTCAGTTTAAATCCTATTTTCTGAATAAGTCTTCTATATTTAATAAAGAATGTAAATTATACATCGTTTCAGTGTAAAGCATGGACCTTCAAACTGAAGAGCGTGTACTAATTTTCCAAATGTGTTTCTGTCGTGTGTCATCAAGTCAATTCCAACTCACAGCGACCCTCTATGACAGAGTAGAGCTGCCCAAAGGGTTTCCTAGACTGCAGTCTTTATAGGAGCAGATCACCAGGTCATTCTCCTGCAGAGAAGCTAGTGGGTTTGAACCCTAATCTTTCGGTTAGCAGCCGAGTGCTTAACTATCATGCCACTAGGTACAATATATGATACTCAAATATAAACACACGGAAAAAGTTGAGAGCATATATACCTGTGTTTTGAGGGTTCGTTCTGTATTGATATTCTTTTCAAAGGCAGCCTTAAGATTACTGATTTCCTCTTCCTTCTTCAATTTATATTCTGTTCAACAAATTATATGAAATGTTACTGGATGACAGTATTTAATAAGAATTTAATTTTCTGTATTCTAAATTAACAATGTTCTTAATTATCAAATAAGTATACACTACATAGTAACTTTTAGTAACTTCATTAAGATAATTCTTAAGGCTACACAAAATATTTCATATACATAAGCAAATATTTCAAAAACAATGCACAATAAAAATAGCTAAAGATGTCTTTGAACTTAACATTATGATTGAGAAAAATAAAAAATCTACCTACCTTCCTCTGTCTTCCTCATGTTTTCAGTTAGCTCTTCATTTTCTTTTTTTAATAATTCAATATCTTTGGTTAGCATGCTGTTCATTTCTTCTAGCTAAACAGAACATACAAAGCTTATGCTACAGCTTCTTTGCTATTCCTCATATTTAAAGCAATTATCTTTAAAATAACACTTTACATTTTCCATAAAGGAGGACAAGTCAGACATTGCTTAACCATAGAAAATGCCTGGTTTCCAGTTAAAATATGTGGACATAATTAAATTCAGAATATATTAAAACAATTGTTAGCTTCCAATAATTATCCACCTATGTACAAACATACACACAAATGCATACACAAGTAATATATATGCATGAAAGGAAAAATAATGCAATGGAAAGAAAACTAGACTATTTAGTTCTAGCTCTGTTATTAACCTACTATGTGACCCTGGGCAACACACAGTCTTTCTGGGCCTTAGTTTCTTCATCTGAATAGTGATGAAAATAACGATAAAAGCATTTGTTAATTACTTTTAGCAATGCATTTACTGGTCATTCTACATATATTAATTCATTTAAACCTCACAACAACCCTGAGGAGTAGGTACTATCATTACTATTTTATAGATGAGGAATCTGAGGCTAAGAGGAGTTAAAGCAACCTGCTAAGACCACATAAACTCCTTAGGGGCAAAGCTGAGATTTGAATCTCAGCCTGCTTACATCAGAGCACTTGATGGTGGCTTCAAAAGAAGAAAAAAGAGTAACTCCCTTTTTTAGACCTGTGATTCTATATGGACTATAGTATAAACCTCCAGAATAGGAACTGTTTGTATTATTGGTTTTCTTACAGTGGATTTGTAGATCATCCACAAAGAATTCTCATCCCATAACAGTTTGTCTGTAATGTCACAAAATTCTGGTCCATTTATTCTTCTTATCAGTTGCAATATATTAAGAGACTACAACAAATGAATTTAAGCCAAGCATTCCTTCACATAAAATATAACTAATAAGATCCACAGCCAGAAAGGGGGGTAAAACTCAATATACTAAATATGAGTTTTAATTATTAACAATCATTTTGGATTATATAAACTGTTTATACATGAGTATAGAATGACCTTTACGTGTGTATGTAAGTATATACACATACATACACACTCATTTTTAACACATTAAGATGTGACCTATTTTGGTTTAAATGAATTTTAGTCACATACCTGACTATCACACTTACCTGACTAACAATGTGATCTTTATCTGTAATCTCTTGTCTATTTCTTGAAGCGGCTTTCTTGCTTTCTTGGGTCAATTCAAAATACTGTTCTTCCAGAAGCCCTCGAGCCAACTGCTCAGACTCAGCTTTTGTTTCTGCTAGATCCAACTGAGTAGCAAGAGCTTCTCTGCAAAATAATTACACGAAAAATGGCTATAAACAAATACACTGCAGTCTTTCAACTTAATCATATGCTTAAAATCACAATTACCTTTAAATGATAAAAAAAGAAATGTTATTTTATTTTAAAATAAACTCCCAATCTATTATAAACTTTCTACAAAAGTAATGAATTTAACCTCTCACACTCTGAAAAACTATAAAAGAACTCTTTAATCTCATATCTGCTATTGTACTTAACTAAGAAACGGCAATAAAGCAATGAATGGCTAGCAGTCTACTTCTGAGAAGGTATTTGTTATAGACGTGGAATGGGAGGTAGCACGGCACAGTGGAAAAGTCATTGGTTTGTAAACGAGGAGGCAAGACCTGGACACTTATTCCCTGTTCTATCACCAAGTAATTGGGTAGGGACAATGGGCAAGTTTCTTACTCCCTGGAGCTCAATTTACTTAAATCTGTAAAATAAGAGGGTTAAACTGAGTTCCTTGTGAGGTCCTTCCCAGCTCTGAGTTCAATGAGGTTATGAAGATTTATAGCATAATTAAATTTACAAACCACTATAAACTATATAAGGAATGATTCTTGGGAATTACACTTGAAAGATTTCCAGAATTCATATCCAGACGAGGACCAGATCACTCCAGTTGCCTGTTCTTCCTAAAGAGCCTCTCTTGGGTAAGCTATCTTGGTAACCTAGTACACAGTAGGTACTGAATAAATGTTTGATGCATGAAAGAATGTTCAACAAATATTTATTTGAATGTTTACGATGTGCCAAGCACTATTCTAGGAACATATGGCAGTAACAAAGTCCCTGCCCTCAGGGAGTGTACATTAGTTGTGTGAGACAATTTAAAACATGAGAAGTAATACATAGTACGTTGTGGAGAACAATAAAAGAGGAAAGGTGGAAATGGTATGAGTGTGGTTGCTGTTTTAACAGGGTGATCAGGGAGGTCTCTCTGCTAAGATGACATATGAGAAGAAATATGAAAGAAGTGAGGGAGTGAGCCATGAAGCTATCTGGAAATAAAGTGTTTTAAGCAGAGGGAACATCAAATAATGAACGACTAAGGTGGGCCTGAAGGAAGCTAATTTGAGCAAAGTGAGACATGGGGGAAAGTTGTGAGGATGTAGTCAGAAAAGCAGGGGGAGAGAAGAACAGACCTTGAGAGGCTTTCCAAAACAACCTAAAGACTTAGGCTTTCACTCTGAGTACTCTGATGTTATGGGGGACAATGGCAGAAGCAGGGATACCAGTTACGAGGCTACTGAAATTATCAAGATTGGAAGTGATGGTGGTTTGGACCAAGGGTGGTAAAGGGCACAAAATGAGACGTGAGCAGCTCTGAATCTATTCTTTAGTTACAACTGGGACGATTTGTTGATGGATTGCATGGAGAGTGTAAGAGAAAAGAATGACTCTAAGTTTTTTACCTGAACAATGGGAATAAGAGAATTGCTAATTACTGAAATGGGGAAGACAGGGAGGAGCAGGTTAGCAAGATGAGGGAATCAAGATTTTTTTCTAGACACATTAAGTATGAGATTCCTTATTAGATACTAAAGTAGAGATGTCAAGTAGGCAACTAGATATACAAGTCTGGAGTTCAGGGGAGCATCTACTTGTACACAGATGCTATTTAAAGCCATGAGACTGGATGAGAACAAGTAGGGAGTGATCCCTTGGGCCCTCCAAACTTTAAAGGTCACAGAGATGAGAAGGGACAAAAGAGCAGAGAAGGCTAAGAAAGAGTAGCCAGTTCATTGAAAGGAAAATAGTGTCTGGTGTCACAGAAGTCAAGTGAAATAATATGTTAAAGAGAGAGCAATCAACTATGCCAAATGCTACTGTTCAATTAAACAAGAGGAGGATTGAGAACCGACTATTGTCTTTAACTATTTGGAAGTCAGAGATGACCAGCAGAAAGGTTTTCTGGTAGAGTGACAAGTGCAAAAGCCTGACTGGAGTGAACTCAAGACGGAACGAGAAAAGAGGACCTGAAGACACTTGGTGCAGCAATCTTTAGGAGGTTTGCTGTAAAAGGAGGCAGAAAAATGGGATGGCAGCTGTAAGTCATGATATGAGGTTAAAAGAGGGTTTTTATTTTGTGGTAAGTATGTATACATATATACATACATATATATACATATACATATAAAACATTTGCCATTTCAACATTTCTCACATGTACAACTTAGTGAAATTAATTATGCTCATCATGTTGTACAACCATCACCACTATCTGCTTCCATTTTTTCTGTTACCCTTAAAAGAAGCTCAGAGCCCCCTAAGCCATGACTCCCTCTTTCCCCCTCCCTCTCACCCCTCGTAACCACTAATAAACTTTGGTCAAAAGAGGCTTGCTTTTTATTTTTCCCATACAAAAATTTGTACATACATTGTTATGTGACCCTAATTGCTCTCCCCATACTGTGACAGCACACTCCTCCTTTCCACCTCTGATTCCCCACATCCATTCAACCAGCTCCTAACCCAAAAGAGGGTTACTTTTAAATGAGATATTTAACTGTATATTTATATAAAAATAACTGTGGAAGAGAAAAACTGATGTAGGAAAGGTAAGAAAATTGTTGGAGTCATATCTTAAGTAGGCAAAAGGGACTGAGTGGCTGGGATCCGGAGATCTAGAATACAATTTGTCCAATTACATCAATCAGAAGGAAGACAGGTTTTATAGGGACAGATGCAGATAGGTTAGTAGATATGGTGGTGGGAGACAGTAGATGTTCTTTTTGACTTCTGGGGAAAAGGCCCTTAGCTAGTATGATGATGAGAATTGGTTGTTGGAAGTTTGAGGAGAGGGGAGTAGATGTGAAATAGTTGTCTAGAAGAGTGGGGAAGTTGGTATATTAGGAGTATCTCCATCTTGTAACATCTAATGTATTACGGATCTAAACACGGAGCGCCAACAGTTGCTTAACAACACGAATAAAGAGGCAGCCAGACATTGTATGATTATATATGAAGTTGTCTTCTCCCCTCCAAAAATCACATTTGAATCTGATTAAGCCTCCAGATCAGGGATGCCCAATAGAATTTTCTACAATGTTGGAAATGTTCTAAATCTGCACTGTCCAATATGGTAGACACTAGCCACATATTACTACTGAGGACTTAAAATGTGGCTAGTACTACTGAGGAGCTAAAGTTTTAATTTTACTTAAATGAACTAAATTTTAAATTTAAGCAGGAAATACAGAGGAAGGAGGAAAATGTTCAACTAATTATGGAAATAGAATTTGCAAAATCATGACTGAGAGAAACTCTATAGAACAAGTGATCCAGTTTCTTCAACAAATAAATGTCAGAATAGTGGTGACTCTTGTGGAGGGGATGGAAGCATAATTAGGAGGTGGGATATAGTGGGCTTCAAAGATGAATAGCAAGGCTATGTCTCTTTTGTGAGTGGTGGTTATAATTAAAGCTGTTGTATAAGTCATAAAATGGTACATCTGTCTTTGCTATTTTTTGTTTACAGCAATAAAATAGTGAACATTTTTATTTCTTTCAAAGGTGGCTAGATAAAAGGGAACATAACAACAAAAGGAGACTTTAGTTCCACTTTCTTTTTGGGCCTGTTAGCTCAATTGTGAAATGAGCTGACACACTAAAATAGCTTTATAAGGTTTTATCCTCCAAAGGCCCTAAGTACACATGTAATGAAAACGAACCTACATAACAATGCCAAGAGGAAGACCTTTACCTAACATGAAACAGTGACTTGTGATTACAGCATGATTTGTATACAAATGCATGTTTACTGTTTCAGAGACTCTTGAATACAACTCCTTGTCACAGTTTATTGACTCTCTGAGCAACTGTTACAGTAGTTACAGTGTTAATTTGTCTATTAAATTGTTTCTTAAGCATAAAGGTAAACTTCAGCCCAAATCTAGTCTAATTTGTTCTGAATTAGGCCAGTAAGATTTGCTATGCCATTACTATCAGAAACTTATGAATGATTTGTTACAGTGTGGATTCTTGCACAAAATAAAATGGACATACTTTTCATTTTGCAGTTCCTGTATTTTCTTTAAATTTTCTCTGTTTTTTTCTTCAATTTCTTCTTTAAGTTCCTTTACCTGGGTTTTATACAGTGTCTGCAAAACAAGCACCAAGAAGAAATAAAGTGTTTATGGTCGTTTAAAAACAGTTCGGCAACTTCTTATAAACAATTAACATATAATCCAACAATTCTACTTCCAAGTACTTACCCAAGAGAAATTCAAATGTATGTCCATACAAAGTATTATATATGGATTTTCACTGCAGCTTTATTCATAGTAGCTAGAAACTGGAAACAACCGAGATATCCAGCAACAGATTCAAGGTTCGAAAACACTTTGGTCTATCCATACTACTGAGCAATAAAAAGGAATAAACTACTGATATATACAACATGATAAATCTAAAAAACATTATGCTGAGTGAAAGAAGCCAGGTTCTAAAGAGTACATGATTCCATGCATATGAAATTCTAGAATAGGCAAAAATAGGCTAAACAGTAAAATCAATGGTTGCCTGGGAACACAGGTAGGTAGGGAAGACTGACTGCAAAGGACCATAAGGGAACTTTTTATGGTGAAGGAAATGCTTTTTATGTTGAATGTGGTGGTGGCCACATGGTGTACATATCTGACAAAACATACTGAACTATAAACTTAAAATGGGTACAATTTATCATATAGAAATTATACCTTAAGAAGTATATTAAACTTATATTGATCTGAGAAAAACATTATGAAGAAACTTAGAAAGAACTACTCATTTAAAAGTTAGATCAATTTTTGAAGTCAGTAATGTTAGAGAAATCCCTTCCCTTTTGGGGAGAGGGTGGAGTGGGTGGCTGAAAAAGGTAGAAATAATACCCACAAATAAATGTTCTGTTAATGTATAAATACTATATAATTATTGCAGAATAATGGTTCTTTCAAAATTCACTAAGTTTTTGCCAACTTTGTGAGCAAATATGTAAAGGTACAAATAAGTATCAGACACATATTGTGTTAGGGGCTGGGGTTCCAGATTAAACTTCCAGTTCTAATGTCTATTACTTTGTTGTTGTTTTTTTTTTTAAACTATCTTTTTAAGCTTAAAAGGAGAAGAAAAAAATAATAGGCGCCAACAAGTAGCCGTGGAGAACTATTTTTATACTGTATACTTAATTATCCCTCTAAGAAATAGCACTTCTTTGGGGGAAAAGTACATCATTGTTATAGGCATGCAAACGAAGGAACAGTGATAATTTGCTCTAGTCTAAGTGTTTACAATTTCTACGATAAAATGATCCATTTCACCTTTAGGAACCAGATTGTCATATCTTCTCTGACTTCAAATACTGAAATTTACAAAGGAAATCAAAAAGATTAAAAAAATCTAGTATGAAAAATAAAAGAAAAACAAAATTTGGTTCATAACAGTATGCCAAATTTAATATTTAACCCAATCCTTACAAGAAATGGAATACTTCAAAACTAAAAAACAGGGTTAGGTTTTGCATTATTTTACAGAGGCAAAATCAAGAACCCGTAAGAAAAACCACAGGTCGTCTGGCATCCATCCAAAAATCTGGAGCTACTAGTGACTGGCCATCTAAGATGCATCAGTTGGTCCCAACCCACTTGGAGTAAAGGAGAAAGAAGAACACCAAAGACACAAGGAAAGTATTAGCCCAAGAGACAGAAAGGGCCACATAAACCAGAGACTCCATCAGCCTGAGACCAGAAGAACTAGATGGTGCCTAGCTACCACCAATGACCACCCTGACAGGGAACACAACAGAGAGTCCCTGATGGAGCAGGAGAAAGGTGGGGTGCAGAACTCAATTAAAAAGACCAGACTTAATGGTCTGACTGAGACTGGAAGAACCCCAGAAAGCACGGCCTCTGGACTCTCTGTCAACCCAGAACTAAAACCATTCCCGAGGCCAACTCTTCAGATAAAGACTAGACTGGACTATGGGACATAAAATGATACTCGTGAAGAGTGTGCTTCTTAGCTCAAGTAGATACATGAGACTAAACAGGCAGCTTCTGTCTGGAGGTGAGATGAGAAGGCAGAGAGGGTGAGGAGCTGGTTGAATGGACACAAGAAATCAGGGATGGAAAGGAGGAGTGTGCTATCACAGTACAGGGAGAGCAACTAGGGTCACATAACAATGTATGTATAAATTTTTGTATAAGAGACTAACTTGAATTGTAAACTTTCACTTAAAGAACAACAAAAAAATAAAAAAAATAAAAATCTGGAGCTACTAGATGATTAGGCTGTGGAGGCATATGGACAACGCAGTACATAAGATATTGTAAACTATTTTGCAGAAGTTATTACTACTTACTTTGAATACGCAATTAAGGTTAATCTACACTCAGGGAAAGGTAACACTGAATTTTTTTTTTAAATTAAAAAGATATTCCATTGATGGCCTAATAAGCTGAGAAAACAAAGAAGCAAAATATATAGTTAGAAAGCCACTGTCTTTATTAGGAGATGAAAGCTTTAAATCATGTGAAACTTTTAGAGTTCTAATGGTGTCAGATTTTTTATGGAAAAAACTACAGTTCTCACTTGGTTTCTAGTGGGGTGCTTACCAGTGTAACCCAAACTCCATGCACTTAACCACACTGAATAAGGCTTGCATGAAATGTGGTCACCAGTTCAATACTAGGGATCAGCTAGATAAACGTTAATTTGGAATGATAAAGCGCAAGCTTGGCAACCAAAAGAAACACATAAAAAATTCAGAAGCTTCAATAATGCTTCAAAAAGCAATAGCTGTAAACGCTCATCAACAGCAACAGTAAAAATAACTTGGCCTGCAGCAAACAAGAGTTAGAATGACTTCTATGGCGTAAAAGAAAAACAGATGTATGAAGTACACACAGAGCTAAAAACAGGAAAAAACTTTTAAACATTAGTTATACCTACAACTCAAAAGCCACTGTAACATGTACACACAAGCCATATATGATAATACTGGCACTCTGAAACACCCACGCTTGCTTCTGGGCAAACACAACCCTTAACAAAGTCTTACAGCTCGAGTTTGATGGCCATTTTGGAAGTGCTTGCACAAAAATGGTAATTTATTTACAACTTAGACCATCAACTCAGATTCAGGAATGAAATAAGAGATGAGAATACAAAAGGAGAAAAATTATTCATAGTCATTTGAAAAAGAATCACAATTCTCTTAAAAAATCTAAATACCTTGTTTTAAGTCAGGTTTTGAAACCATCTATAAGCTAAACATGATTTTCACTCACCGAGAAATACTGCTCAGCTTCAAGCTGATCTTGTAGCTCCCGCATCTGTCCTTCATTTCCTCTATACTGTCTTCAGATAAAAGAGAAAATTGTAAACAAATGCACTTATTTATAGCAAGCTTTATATTATTCTTAGTTTAAAACAGTATTACTTGACTAATTAATTTGATTAAGCCACACTGGCTGGTTTCATTTTGCTCCTTATAAAATAACGCTATGTAAAGTATGTTGTTGTGTGCCACTGAGTCGACTCAACTCACAGCGACCCTATCGGGCAGAGTAGAACTGCCCCATAAGGTTTTTTAGGCTGTAATCCTTACGGGAGCAGATCACCACGCATTTTCTCCTGTGGAGCCACTGGGTGAATTCGAACCGCCAATCTTTCAATTAGCAGCCAAGTGCTTAATCATTGTGCCACAAGGGCTCCTTATGCAAAGTATAGGGAACCCTTTACTACTGAAGGTCATTTTCAGAATATTAATTGTGGATCGATCCAAATTGCAAAAATAAAATTGACAATGTTTTTTGTACATGTTTGTAAGGAAAAGTAGTATTGTTGTTTTTAGGTGCCGTTGAGTTGGTTGTCACTCATAGCGACCCTATATGTACAACAGAACGAAACACTGCCCGGTCCTGCACCATCCTCGTAATCGTCAGTTATGCTTGAGCCCATTGCTGGCAGCCACTGTGTCAATCTATTTTGTTGAGGCTCTTCCTCTTTTTTGCTGACTCTCCACTTTACCAAGCATCATGTCCTTCTTTAGGGACTGATCCCTCCTGATAACATGTCTAAAGTATGTGAGATGTAGTCTTGCCAACCTTGCTTCTAAGGAGCATTCTGGCTGTACTTCTTCCAAAACAGATTTGTTCATTCTTTTGGCAGTCCACGGTATATTCAATATTCTTCACCAACACCATAATTCAAAGGTTTCAATTCTTCTTTGGTCTTCCTTATTCATTGTCCAGCTTTCACGTGCACATGAGGCAACTGAAAACACCACGGTTTGGGTCAGGCACACCTTAGTCTTCAAGGTTGACATCTTTGTTTTTTAACACTTTAAAGAGGTCTTTTGTAGCAGATTTGCCCAGTGCAATGCATTGTTTAATTTCTTGACTGCTGCTTCCATGGGTGTTGACTGTGGATCCAAGTAAAATGAAATCCTTGACAACTTCAATCTTTTCCCCGTTTATCACGATGTTACTTATTGGTCTAGTTGTGAGGATTTTTGTTTTCTTTATATGGAGGTGTAATCCATACTGAAGGCTGTGGTCTTTGATCTTCATCAGTAAATGTTTCAAGTCCTCTTCACTTTCAGCAAGCAAGGTTGTGTTATCTGCATTCTGCAGGTCATTAAGAGTCTTCCTCCAATCCTGATGCCCCATTCTTCTTCATATAGTCCAGCTTCTTGGATTACTCGCTCAGCATACAGATTAAGTACGGTGAAAGGATACAACCCTGACACATGCCTTTCCTGACCTTAAACCACGCAGTATCCCCTTGTTCTGTTCAAACGACTGCCTCTTGATCTATGTAAAGGTTCCTCATGAGCCTAATTAAGTGTTCTGGAATTCCCATTCTTAGTAATGTTATTCATAATTTTTTATGATCCACAAAGTCGAATGTTTTTACATAGTCAATAAAACATAGGTATACATCCCTCTGGTATTAGGGATATATTTTAAGTGTTTTATGTAGTAAGGACATACATAAAACATTTTTAAAAACCCATGGCTGGTGGGTTTGAACGCCTGATCTTTCGGTTAGCAGCTGAGCACTTTAACCACTAGGGCTCCATAATTAAAAATAGAGGACATGAACTATTTAATAAATAATAAGAATAATTCAGCACTATATATTATGGCCAATTAAGTGCAAGAAGGGGGGTGGAGAAGAATAATCAGGTAAGGAAGAAGGGAAGGCACGAACAATAAACTGACAAAGAAGGAGAAACATCCATAAAGAGACAACCACATGTATACAATACACACATAAACACAACTCACATGGAGAGAAACAGACTTAAAAAGAGAGAAACACAATGCAACCCAAAGACACACATTTTCAAGGACTAATAATTCCATATGTGGTTGTTAGGCTTTTATATTAGATAACCATAACTTTGTATTTTCAGCACCTAACAAGGCATGAGGAGCACTAATGGCGCAGTGGTTAAGAGCTCGACTTTTAACCAAAAGGCCTGTAGTTCAAATCCACCAGGCGCTCCCTGGAAACCCTATTGGGCAGTTCTACTGTGTCTTAGAGGGTCGCTATGAGTCAGAGTCGACTCGACAGCAACGGGTTTGGTTTGGGTTTTGGGTAACAAAGCGTGTAGTTCATGGAAAGTATATTATAAATGCTTGGTAAATGTTGAATGAAAGTTATCTCGGGAGAAGAGCATACAAAACACATTGCTTGGTGAAAATGGTAGCTTTAAAAGCAGAAAAAGTTTCACCAATGTAAGTCCAACAAAATCAAAACTGACAATTTTATACAATTACTATGTTATAAGTGAAGCCAGCAACAGAAGATACTAATACATAAACTGGAGAAAATAAAAACATATGACTCATCATAAGATAGACCCATCTTTGATATTAAATTTTTGAAGCATGTCCTTATAAATTCTGAAAGCAACACTGACACCTTGTTTTGTTTCCATTTCAAGTAAGCAGACACATCAGATCAGAGTAGAAGAAGAAAAAAAGCATTCTGAGATGAACCAAAGAAACAAAACAAAAAAAACCCCACAGGGTTACCATGTCTAATTCTAGTCCTTAAGTCTTGAGCCTTTCCTGTAAGTTACTGAATCAATAATAAAAAGTTTATCCATGATTTTTGCAATATGAATGTCTGAAGAAGTGTAACTTTCGTGGATATGAAAATCATATGAGAAAATTTTTTTTTTTCCACCATAAATACACTTAGTGCAAAGTCAGTAGTAGCCTTGATAATCTCCTTTTTCCGTTCCCCTTAAATACCTGTATTTTTTATTTGGTAAGCATGTACTTCCAAAGCCTGAACTCCTTTGCAAACCTTTGCAGGTAAACTCTTTTATTTCTAAATTTTTTTTTAAAAAGTCTTCCTTTTACAAATTCTAAATATATAGTCATTACACACATAAAACATCAAACACGTAAGCAAATGCTGAGTACACACACAAAAAACAAATAGATGTTATCTTCAACACTTACTTTGTAAGCTGAGCTAACTCAAATTCTAATAATCTCTTTGCTTCCAATAAAGTATTTATTTCCTGTTTCATCTGCTTCTCTAAACCTTTTAAATGGTCTGCCTCAAAAGCTTGTGTCTTCAATTCACTTTGTAACAGCAGACGCTTATTTGATTCCTGCTCCAGTTGCAGGGCTAGATTCTTAACCTATGAATGAGAAAAATAAATGAGATCATAAATCTCTTGGACAATTTATTAGATGTTATCTGAAAGAATACTAATCAAATTAAGTGCATTATAATTCCTATAATTCTTATTATATAGAGAATATTAGTATTCTAAAGAGTCTCTATCTGTTTATTCTGTGTTTATTATTGCAGAATTTACTGCTAAGTCAAATTAATCCCCAAATTTCAGATATGAGATCTAAAAAAAAAATCTGGCTTCTTTCTATTCTAACCAGAATGGAAATTTTGGAGACTTCTGGGGGAATTCCAAAGGACTATTTAAAGTTTACCTGTTCATTCATACATGTTTATGTGCTCTAGTCTATAACCATCCAAAGTTTACAAAACAAATTAAATATATACTTAATTCAACTTAACAAATATTTATCAAATACTTATTAGGTGTTGGGACTAATAAGCTAAAAATTCTTAGAGTGCTTTATAATACCCTTTGAGATCCGCTCCTTGTCTACTTCTCTAGTTGTACCACTGGCCATTCTCTATAATCTGATCATACATCTCAGATCCTCAAATGTGACAAGCTCTCCTTCACCTTACAGTTCTTACATGTGCTCTTCCCTCTGTCTCTCCCTCTTCATTTATTCATTATTCAGCTCCCAAATTAAATGGCATTCCCTTAGTGAGGCCTTCCTTCTTTAACTCACAGACATGATTAGTCATAACATTTCTACAGCATTCTGTACTTCCTTTTTAATATCTGTCATGAATGTAATTACGAGTTTAATATCTGTCTTTCTCTCTGAGCTGTAAGTTCCAAAAAAGTAAAGACCATAACTGTCTTATCCACCTCAGTAACCCCAACTCCTAGCACAGAGCAACAAAAATAATTATGTATTCAAAAATTATATTTTTTAAATGACTGTTATCTTGTAAATTATAATATACATCCTTTCTGCATGCTGACTCTACTAGGTATCTCTAATCTCTCTTCTTTTTAGGCCATATACATACCACTATCAGAACAATTTTCCTAAAACAGTGTTTTCAAGTGTAGCTCCCACGGTAAGTTTTAAAGACCATCAATACTTTGGTCCGCAAGTTTCTCCCATGATTACTGAACATGTCTCTTCTATTCTGGTCAGACTGAGTCCCTTACTGCCCTCACTCACTTACCCTCTTATCCACTCAGTACTCATCTTTATCTTTATCAAGCTTCTGACTCTCAATTGCTTCCTGAGATCTTACTCAACCTTTAAAATCAAGTAACATCTTGTCCCTCTTTGAGAAGGCATTCCTGACTATTCTGGTCTGCTTCTCTTTCTCCCTTCTTTAATTTACATGGATTAAGACCTTTTAGTCTTATAAAAAATTTCTAAAATACTTACAGTTACCACCAGGATATAATGTGATTTTATCTTTTTATTAACTCCTTTATGTATATTCACCGTTTTCCATCAATCTAATTCAATCAAGACTCCGTAATTTAAAACTTTTTTGGAAATTTATGAGCAATGCTCCTCTTTGAGGATACAGGCTATCTTATGATAATTTTTTTTTAAAGCAGATGGTAAGTTTCTTCAGGGGAGGAGCTATGTCACTTCAGTACAGTTGTACTGTCAGTGTAAAATGGCAGAGATGCTATAGAATGAATGTTCAACAACTATTTGAAGTTGAAAATTCTAGCAGCTAGGGATATAGTAGTGACCACATAGCAGTGACTATAGATCCATACATGCTATTCATTCAAATTTCATTCATGTCGTTTAAATCATACATAATGATTCTTCATTCGCAACTTATGTATGATGAACATCCAAAGCTCTTTTATAAGTTGAACACAATCAGTACTGTCTATTTTTCTTACTTCATCCTCCATCCTTTCTTTATTTTCAGTCATATGCTCTAGCTTCTGCTGAGACTGCTTTAGATCAACATCGAGCATAGAACACTGTTTCTCAATCTGAACAACCCTATTTTCAGCCTTTTCTCGAGCCTCTCTTTCTTCCTTCAGCTTTTTTTCCATCTCTGCAAAAGAAAAACATTACAAACATATATTTAAAGACAGAGAACACTTTAATACATTTTACTTTACATGCGTTGTATAATACAAACTGGTGCCATATATCCCTACTGTTTTTATCCTGGCACTTTAAGGGAATTATAAAATATAATCAGGTAATAAAATACTTTAAATCCAGCCCTTGCCCAGTGATATAAGTGACTATTTAGCACAATTCTCAGACCAGAAGGTGAAGAATATAGCCAGAAAGTGGAGTAACTTGGGACAAAAACGGAGGTAGGTCAGGGGAAAGCAGAAAAATAAGGTTGTAGTTGTTAATCTGTATGTTGCTTTGTTCCAGAAGTTTCAAGAAGCTTATGGTTATAATGGGAGCTCTAATTTATGCAACCCAGATAAATTAATATCCACAGTAGTAAAATACTTATTTTTATTATTACCAGAAGATGGAGGTCTTCAGTGAGGCTCCATTTTTGAGATACAGTAACTCAGGCTCCGAGAGGTTAACTTTTCCATGCTCAAGCAACTAGTAAGTTGCACCATCAGGATTCAAACAGAACTTTATATGACTCTAAATCTGTGCTTTTCCCATTAAAGACACTTCCTCAAAAATGTTAAATTAAAAAAGCTTGGATAAAGAGGAAACAGCATGAGGTAAGGATGAAGAGTAGAAATGCATGTCATATCCAGAGAATAAAAATAAGAATTACTGTTGACTCACTGCTGATTATTTTCAGGCATTGGGGTATATGTTTTACATTCATCCATTCACTTAATAATATATATACTAAGTGCTTACTATTGCCATGCACTGTTCTCAGGGCAGAGAATATAGTGTGAATACATATATTATATACTGTGGTGATGTTGTTAGTTGCCGTCAAGTCGATTCCAACTTATGGTAATCCCAAGCGTGCAGATTAGCACTGCATCCCATAGGGTTTTCAAGGCTGTGACCTTTTGGAAGCAGACTGCCAGGTCTTTCTTCTGAGGCACCTCTGGGTAGACTAAAACCTCTAACCTTTCAGTTATCAGCCAAGTACTTTAACCATTTGTACCACCCAGGGACTACTCAAACTTATATACCAATTAACTATTGGACATTTCCACCTGGATACCTAATAAGCTTGTCAAAGTTAACACATATATAAAATAGAAAGTCTTCATTCATTTCCCTCCCGTCCCAAAACCACTCCTGCTCCAATTATCTCAGTCTCAGTATATATTACCATTTATCCAGCTGTTCAAACTAAAAGCCTAAATCTTTCTTGGTTTCTTCTTTTCCTCTCTTTCCATCCAATTCATCACCAATTCTTTTCATTTATATCTCCACTTCTTTCCATCGCCACTACCACCATTCATTTCTTGCCTATAGTCTTCTAACTGATCTCTCCTTTTTCACTGTTGTTTCTCTCCAAAGTATTCTCCACACAGCGGCTGCAGTTGTCTTTTAAAAATATAAATTATACATTCCAGACCAGCTTAAAATGCCCCAATGGCTTCTCACTATTTTTAGAATATGAATGTTGAATTTACTGTCTCTTTTGTGTGGAATGTACTTCCTCCAGCTGTTTTAATGGCTTGTTCATCTTGACTTTCAGTTCTTACCTCAAAAACTTGGAGAGGACTTTCCTCAGAACCCCATCTAACATAGTATCACTTAGAAACTCTCAGCTTGGAGTATATTTCCTTCATATTAATAATTACAATCATTAACTATTTTAATTTGTGTATTTATTTGCTTTTTCCCTATATCCACTACAGAATATAATCTCTAAGAAGGGTTTTTGTCAATCTTAGTCTTGGCTATATTCCCAGATGTGCGTGGCATGTAGTTAGGCAGTCAATAATGACCATATGTGAAAGAAATAAAAGTAGTTCAGTATAGCTGAAGCCAGCATTATTATGAAAAACTCAATAGTGTAGAGCAGTAAGAATGGAAAGATAGGTACTAACTCAAAGGTTTTGAATATCATGAAGAGTTTGAAACACAACTTGTAAACAATCAAAAGCCACTAACGGATTTTAAGAAGGACTAGCACCTAAAGTTCAGATAGATCATTGTGACCTAAGTAAGAGGGATAGACTGGTGAGTAGAATAACTCTAGGCAGAGTAAAAATTAAGAGTCTATTGCAATAGATCAAGCAAAGTGATGATGCTATAATGAACTAAGTGGGGACAGGAAAGGAGGATTATGTTGTATGTTTCATTTGGAAGTAGAATTCCTGACTGATTCCCAGATTTCTGGCTTGGGCTCCTGGGTGTTGAGTAATACCACCACCAGTAACCATGATAACAGCTACCAATGACTGAATGCTTTCTATGTACAGGCACTTTATCTGAATCTTCTCATTTAATTTTTTTTTAAAGTCCTAGAGAGGTTAAGAGGCAAAGCAGATGTGTCTGATCCCAAAGGCTGGGCTCATAAAGACTTTATGGTCATTAACCCAGGATAGTGAGAACAGGGGGGAAGAGTAAGTTTGATGGATAAGATTATTAGTTCCCTTTGAACAAATGGAATTTAAGTTGCCAAGTTACATATCCAGATTGTAGTAGGTTAAGAAATGAATAGAAGGTGAAGAGCAGGAAGACTCCTCTTTTTAGAAGTTTGGCTATAAAGGGATAGAATAAAACAGTAGAAAACAGTGAGGATCACAGGCTTCTGCAAAGGTTTGTTTCTTTGTTTTTAAGATGGGAGAGATTTGTTCATGTTTACAACGAAGCAGCAGCCAGTGGAGGAGAAAAGGCTGAGGAAAAAAAGAAGAGAAAAAGAGATGATAAGTCAGGATGGGACAAGAAGAGACTAGATCTACAGCACAGCTAGAATACACTGGCCAGGAGAGGAAGAGGACCACCCTTCTTTAAGATGAGAGGGAAGAGAATAAAGATGGGAAAAGAGGTAGGATAGGTTGGTAAGTAGGAGAGTTAGATTTTGAGGAGTTCACATCTATGGCTTCATGATTTTTTCTGTGAAATAGAAGGAAAATATACCTAAAAGTGGAATGATAAAATAAATGGCATAAGAAAGTTGAGACGAGAAAGAACTGGGAGAAAGAAGTGATGAGTGATGTATAAAAAAATTTGTGACAGCTCAACTGGGGTAGAGATCATGCATTTGTATTAGGATACACAATTTGAAGTGAAGAAAATATCTGGGTGGTCTGATCTAGGGTTGTGTCTGGAGGCATAATGTAGTGGAAATACAAAGGAATGAGAGAATCGAGGGTACAAAGCAAGAAAGCAGTGAATTAATAGACAATGAGGTCCAGAATGAAAGAAGAAGAAAATAAAAGAAAGAGCTGAAAAACCAGGAGAGAAGAGAGGCTCCACTGACCTGTACAGGGAATAGAGGGAGTAAAGGAGTTAAGAGAACTAAACAGTGAAACTGTGATTTAAAAAAAGAAGGAATCCTTTCTAGATCATAGTTTATCATTTCTAAGAATTATACTGCTATAAAACTAAGTTTTGATAAAAAAAAATATTTTGTAGGCATTATTTAAAACTAACTACGTTGATACTTACCACACATTGCAACAGACTTTGCTTCTTCAATAGACTGATGTTTGTCAGTTAAACGAGCTTTGGTTACTTTATGTTCGTTTACTTCTTGTTCTAACCGTTGTTGTAACAATTTAAGCTTGTAGTTTAAATCTATCTCTAAATTATTCTTTTCCTGTAAAATGGGAATGAGAGTCATGTAATATACTGTGCAAAAGATACATTTATTAAATCTTACATTATGTAATATCCCATAAGAAACAATATATCATATGAATTACACGGGCTTGAAATGTGACACCATATTTAAGTGCATTTATTAAGTACATTATTTTTATTTTTTAATACTCTCCTGTATATTTCACATTATCTATGGTGTCTTACTTTTAAAATCAGAATAAACACATACAATTAAAAGCAAAATATCACTTTTTCCTTAAATATCACTCCCCCCCCCCCATTTTGAATCATTAACCATGCCTGATGGCAAGGCAAGGTTGGGATGGTAGTTGGGTTCAGGAGGGTTCATTGCTAGGAGCAGAAATAAATTCTTCAGGTTTTATTTTTATTTTCGCTATCATATTTTTTATTTATTAACATTAAATTATCTCTGCCTACATTTGCATCTATACCTACATTTACTTTCCTTTGACAAAAGAATAAGCAGCACTCATGGCAAGTCACCAAGTCCCTGAGATGGCAAGAGAGAACAAGTAAAAATGATTCCATTTTTGTTTGGATGTTTCTACTCTTCCTTCTTTTATCCTATTTCTACTTTTACACCAGGCTTAGCCATGAAAAAAAAACTTTTCTTATTGTCACCTGGGGACTCCAAAACATCTTCAAAGGACAAGATAAGTGCTGGATTTTCTGATAATTTATCTGAAATTCAACTGAATCTCCAACATTCAGGGAGGCACTGAAACAGTGAGAGCTAGACCTGCATGTTATCTCTTTAATCTTTTTCCTCAGCAAGGTAGGCAACAGAGGATAACCAATGGAATTTTTTATTTTTAAAGAAATCCTAAATGCAAAGGCCAATCATTTAATGCCCTTTTCTATTCTTGCTAACTCTTACCAACAAAATGAAACAAACATAAATGATCTACTATACACTGACCCTTTGCTTTCCTTCTTCATAAAAACCTTCATCTTACCCCTGTACACAGAAAATTCTATATGAAAAGGTATTTCCAAAACAAAGGAACTTATTGATAATCAGATGACATCAAACATCTAATATCTTCAAGGGTCAAAACAAACAATTAAGTAACAACAATAAAAAACCCAAATAAGAAATACATACACCCATATAAACCAACCAAACACAAAAACTTTAAAAATGTAAATATGTAAACTTTAGGATTAAATGCTATTTTATAAAACCACCTTATAATATCTGATAATTAGCAAATATTTTCTCATAATTGGTACCTGTTAAATCATTTACCTTTTCTGAATGATTAAGCATGTCTTGAGCTTCTTTTCTTTCTCCTTCCATTCTTTCAAGATTGTGTTTGAGATGCTTCACTTCCTCTTGTAAAGATGTAATTCGAGCTATCAAGTGAGAAAAAAGTTTAAATCACACAGTTATGGAAAGAAAAGCCATTGATTCAGTGTGAACATTAATTTTTTTATAGTATTAAATTTCCTGATCAGACAGAATTATTGTTTTTTGGTGATATGCAAAATAAATTCAATATACAATACTGAAAATGTTAATGCTAATTAGAGATCATCTAGCCAATTTTCTTCATTTTACAAGTGGTTAAAGAGACAAAGCCTGAACTTGGGCTAGAACTCAGATCCAAATCCTTATTGAGTGCTATTTTCTACCAAGTTGATGCCCTTTATGTACTTACCAAAGAACAAGTATTTATTAAGTGCTTTGCATGTGCCAGACACTCTACAGTGTTAACAGAGTCAAACTCTGCTTTTATGGAAAACTAAGTTTTAAGATATTTAAATGTAACAAAGCTTAGTTTTAGCCTACCTGAAGCTCAAGCTATGCAATTGGAGCAACTCATACATTTTGTAACTGTCTCCTCATTAAAATATGCTTTAGACATATAGCTTTTTAATGCATTAATATTTAACACACACAAATTTAATACGAGTAGAACCTAACTTAAATGAATATTCTTATGTTGTCTAATTTAAAAGTAAGAATCTATTTTCAGATTTTATAATTCAAAGTTGCCTAAAATTTGACACGAAAATGAATAAAGCACCCTGAATGACCAGGAAGGATTTTGTACTAAATGTACAGGTTAACTTACTGTACTTGCCCAACTTTCAAATGTACCCCCTTCCTCCCATATTTTGTGTTTCTGAAATAGTTCTTTAATGAACAAATGAATATTAAACCTTTGGCACCTGATAATGCTTGTCTGCTAGCTAATCTAGAGAATAACTTTATTTACATACACACCACACAACAATGGTATTATGTTCACATACGAGAATGTGTTATGACATCTGCCAGTTTCTTTCAAATGTTTCAGCAAAAATACAAAGTACATGTGTGTTTGTATGGAAAGAAAGAAAGCAAATGTGCCAAGATGTTCGAATGTTAAAGTGGTATTTAAAAATAGGTTTTAAAAAACGTATACAAAGACAGTAAATTGATTAAATTTTGAAATTTTCATCTAGAGGATTATTACAAACTAAGTTCTAAGAAGACAAGGTTGAGCTGGAATCAACTCAATGGCAATGGGTTTGGTAATGAAGATATATGGGTTGAATTCCTTACAGATTTCTAATAATCCCATGAAAGACAAAGTCAAAAGTAAAAAATACTTCTTTTCCTCATTTATTCTGTTTTAAAAAAACATGCTAGGAGGAAACTATATTGTCTGTGCAATATATGAAAGCAAAAACAAAACCAAAAAAACTTGTTGCTGTCAATTCCGATTCATGGTGACCCCAAATGTTTTCAGAGTAGAACTGTGCTCCATAGGGTCTTCAATGGCTGTAACCTTACAAAAGTAGATGGCCAGGCCTTTCTCCATGGCTCTGCTAGGTGGATCACAACCCCCAACCTTCTGGTTAGTGGTTGAGTGCAAACCATTTGTGCCACCCAGAGACCTTATGAAAGCAGCGAAGCTTCGTATACAAAAATTATAAAAATAGAGTGGAAGGAATAAGAACCAAAATATCAGGATTAAAACAAAAAAGCTTTCTAGAAGAAAACAGGGGATCATATCTTCATGATCTAGTAAAAGATTTCTTCAATAGGCCACACTAAACATAGCCTACCCACTGCCGTCGAGTTGATTCTGACTCACAGTGGCCTTACAGGACAGAGTAGAACTGCCCCATAGGGTTTCCAAGGCTGTAAATCTTTACAGAAGCAGTCACATCTTTCTTCTGTGAAGCGGCTGGTGGGTTCGAACTGCTGACCTTTGTAACAGCCACATGCTTTAATCACTGTGCCACCAGGCTCCTCCAAACATAGCATTAACCATAAAAAGATAAATAGATTGGACTACATTAACAAAATTAAGAACTGTTCATCAAAAGACACCATTATTAAAGAGTGAACAGGCAAGCCACAGAATGGGAGAAGACAACTATGGTACATACATTTGATAAAGGCCTAGTGTCTAGGATTAGTATAAACGAGTAAGAAAAAGGCAACCCAATTAACAAATGAGCAAAATATTTGAAGTGCACATTACAAATAGCCAGTAAACATATGAAAAGGTGCTCAGTCTTAGACAGCAGAGAAACGCAAATTAATCCACAAAGAAATACCATTACACACCACTAGAATGGCTAAAAAATTAAGACTGACAATGTTGATGAGAATGTGGAGCAAGTAGAACTCTCATATACTGCTGGTGAGTGTAAACTGGTGCAGTTACTTCAGAATACCTGCAAATATTTACTAAAGGAAAATACACATATACCATATGACACAGCCATTTTTAGGTATATACCCAACAGGAAGCATATTTATGATTACCAAAAAATACGCATAAGAAAGTTCATATCAGTAGTATTCATAATAGCCCAAAATTGGAAATAACCAAAATATCCATTTACTGTAGATTGATTGATAAATAAATTAGTGTTCATTCTATGGAATACTACTGTGCAGCAAGAACAATCTACTGTCATATACAACAATATGGATGAACCTCACAAACATAACGTGGAGTGAAATAAGCCAGGTGCAAAGAAGTATTTATCGCACGACTCTTTTTATAAAAAACAAGTAAAAGTAATTTACGGTGTCAGAAGCCAGAATAACGATTATATGGCAGAGGGGCATTAGTGACAGAGAAAGCCCAGGGAGACTTCTGGGTTGCTGGGAACGTTCAGTTTCATGAGCTGGATTCTTGTTACATGGGTATATTCACATTGGGAAAATGCCTTCGGTTGTACACTTTTTGATTCATTGTATTTCTACCTGTGCATATATGTTAAGTTTCAACAACAACAAAAACCTCACTGAAAAAAAATCTAAGTATGTTAAAATCTCGAATGAATGATGAAAGCGCTCAAACTGAATACATTTGAGGTCTACTGAAAATATACAAAAATTAAAAATACATGAATGGGCAAAATATAACAGGAAAATGCAAATCAAAGGAAAAAAAAACCTAAGGCCAGATGCATTCAGTGTCATTGGTGGTGCAGTGGTTAAAGTGATCGACTGCTAACCAGAAGGTCAGTGGTTTGACATCACCAGTGGCTCTCTGGAAGAAAGATGTGACAGTCTGTTTCCATGGAGATTTACAGCCGTGGAAACCCTACGCGGTCACTATGAGTTGGCATCAACTGGATGGCAGTAGGTTTGGTTTTTATAATAATATAAATTCTAATCCACTCAGAAGATACAGAAGTCATAAATCATTATACACCAAACAACATTACATTAAAAATATACAAAGCCGGGCATATGTGAAAACCTGCAGTTAACATCATACTAAAGAGTGAAAGACTGAGATCTTTCCCCCTAACATCAGGAACAAGACAAGGATGTCTGCTTTCACTACTGCTATTCAGTACTGTATTGGAAGTTCTATCCAGAGCAATGAGGCACAAAAAAGGAATGACATCCAAATTGGAAAGGAAGAAGTAAAGCCCTTTCTATTTGCAGACAACATGATCCTATATATAGAAAATCCCAAAGAATCCACAAAAAACTATTAGAGCTAGTAAACCAATTAAGCAAAGTTGAAGGGTACAAGATCAACACAGAAAATCAGTTGTTTCTATACACCAACAATAAACAATCTAAAAAGAAAATTAAGAAAACAATTCCATTTACAATAGCATCCAAAAGAATAAAATACCTAGAAACAAATTTAACCAAGGAGGTGCAAGACTTGTACCCTGAAAACTACAAAATATTGTGGAAATAAAGAAGACAAATAAATGGAAAGACAGCCTGTGCTCATAGATTGAAAGATTAAATATTGTTAAGATGGCAATACTATGCAAAGTGATCTACAAATTCCAATGGCCTGTTTTGTAGAAATGGAAAAGCCAATCCTCAAATTCATACGGCATTACAAGGGCCAAAGGTGGAGGACTCACACTTTCCAATTTCAAAACTTACTACAGTGGTCAAAACAGTGCGGTACTGGTATAAGGACAGAAGTACAGACTGAATAGAACTGAGAATTCAGAAATAAAACCATACATCTATAATCAATTGATTTTTGACAAGAGTGCCAGGACCATTCAATGGGGAAAGAATAGTCTCTACAACAAATGATGCTTGGACAACTTAATTCCCACATGTAAAAGAATGAAGTTGGATCCCTATCTCATACCATACACAAAAATGGATCAAAGACTTAAATATAAGAGCTATAATTATAAAGCTCTTATAGGAAAACAGGTAAATCTTCAGGACCTTGGATTTGGCAATAGTTTCTTAGATAAAAGACCAAAGGCAGGAGTAATGAAAAAATAGTTAAATTGGACTTCATCAAGATTATAAATTTTGTGCATCAAAGGACATCAAGAGAGTGAAAAGATAACCTACAAAATTGGGAGAAAATATTTGCAAGTCACATATCTGATAAAGGTTTAGTATCTAGAATATATAAAGAATGCTTACAATTCAACAATAAAAGGACAAATAAACTTTATGCTAAGTGAGAGAAGCCAGACAAAAGGACACATATTGTATGATTTCATTTATATGAAATATCCAGAATAGGTAAATCCATAGGCAGAAAGCAGATTGGTGGGTGCCAGGCTCTGGGGAGAGAGGGACAAAAGGAAGAAGAGGGGCTGTTTAATGGCACAGGGTTTTCTCTTATGCTTTGGAACTAGATAGAGGTGGTAGCTGTACAACATCGTGAATTTACTAAATGTCACTCAATTGTACACTTTAAAATGGCTGATTTTATGTGAATTTTACCTCAGTAAAAAAGCTGTTAGAACTACAAGGGGACTATGAGAAAAAAAGCAATCATAATGGGAACTTTTTTTTTAAAAATATATTTTATTCTACTTCAGGTGAAGGCTTACAGAACAAATAGTTTCTCATGAAACAGTAGTACACATGTTGTTTTATGACATTGGTTAACAA